CCTGCCCAACGACTGCCTCAAGGCCACACAGCCGACATTCTTGTATCACTCCAGCACGTCCAAACCCATCCTCGGAGCACCGATTCCGGCGCAAACCGATACAAACCGGTGGTGCGGTCTGGCGGGTCGTGACGCCCCGTCCGGCTGGAGACGTGCCGAGACGACCTGCTCTGCTGGGAGCACCCGGCCGGCGGGTGAACGAACGGCACGACCGGTGACGTCATCGGGTGGTCGGTGACGTCACCGACTGCCGATACGGTCGGCTACCGCTCGGAAGCAGGTGGAAAAGGGCGGTAGCAATGTTTCATGCTCACTCTTCCATATCTTCCCTCTGTCTTCCCTGTCAACTGTCTGTTACTGTTTCTGCAAAGAAATGGAGCGTGGGATAAAACACTCCCGAAACTGTCTCGCCTGTAGGTGATTGCAGTGGGCCTTGCAATGTGAACGGCGTGCAGTCGTTGAAGCGTTGCCTGTTCCGTAACGCACAGTGCAACTTGTCTGTGCCAACGCCGGTACTTGCGGCGGCCCATTACATGTCACCCCGGGGGCTGTTATCGCTCCGGCGTGGCGGACTAGGTCGGGCGTGGGCGGGTGGGAGGTTCCGCACCTGTCTCAGGCCCCGCCGGCTGCCCTGGGGCGGCGGAGGTGACGGCGCACCCATCCACGTGTCGATGACGTGGCCGGAAGCTTCCCCTGGCGGTTGGTACTGGGAGGGTAAACGGATGTGTGAGAAAGGTGAGTGTAGGGTGAATGGATGAGCGAGAGGTGGTGAGAGGGAAAGGGATATTTCTGCTTTGGCATGACAAAGAGACGTGACGGATGGGGACAAAACGCCGAGCCGCCGAGATTTGTTAGCCAAATGAGCTTCAACCTGCCTCTCCGTATGCGAAGTTTAACTCCGTGTGCCGTCGCAACCTCCTTAGTCCTTATCTTCCGTCACCCTGCCCCGTCCCGTCGCGTAGCGCCTGCGTCAACCACTGCGGACAGGCGGGGAGGGGGACGCCTTTTTCACGCGCGTCCGGCTGCGTCGAGCCGTGTAAGTCGGGGAAAGTGCGGCTACTCGGGCCGTGACCGGGTGAACCGAGCCGTGAACGGATCTCCACGGCACGCTGGCCGGATGTGAGCGAGTGTCGCCGGTGGGTCAGGTCACTGGCTGGATAAGTCTGTACACGCCAGAGGTCCCACTGGTGGTATTCCGGACTAATTAGTGCCGACGAACTCCTCTGATACCGACCGCAGCCTGCCGGTTTGATGTCTGGCTGCCGGCAATTTGCATATTTATGGTTCAGACTCCCGTGGCGGATCTACCGATAAATCAGATAGCCAGAATTATTGGTGCAGATTTGAATTTAAGAAATGTAAAGAAGTTGACCCATCAGTGTCACAGGATTCGATTTGTTACTTTACGTTGGACAGATCCTCCAATACTTAAAGCTCTGTAGTCCGTCTCAGTCTCTCTGGCCGGAGGATCTCTCTCTTGAAGGCAAGTGGGCAGTGAGTGATGTACCATTTTCCCGGTGTGGGCAAAGTTATACTGCATAAGGCTTTGTAGAGCTTTCGCTTGACCGAACGTTATTGCCTTGTGTTTGAACTCGCTGCTCTTGGCTGCGCAACTTCATTAGTTTTCTGATCAGCTGTCAGTCGCCTGTACCAATATCTGAGGTCTGGACAGCTATATATACCTACTGGTGAAATCTCGGAACGTTGGCCTGTTTTGACTTGCAATTGAAGACGGATTCTCTAATCTCTCAACAATTTGCTCGAATTGCACCGCCCTTTGTTGTACATTATGCTACTCAAAACCCAGTTGGCACCCTGCAGTGTTCCCTTTCGACTTGCTAACGTCGTCAGTGGGATGCTAACCCTCAATTTGCCACGCAGTATCCCTCCACCCTCGCCATCTCCATACGACTCTCCTCCCTTGCTCGCCCGTGTTATGCTCTGCCTGTGCCGTGAGCCTCTCCCCACATCACTTACAATAATTATATCTGTGTCGCCTGTTGGTCCTACCGACTGGCAAGCACGCCTGCCGAAACAGTCTGTGCAAGCGGTGCCGGTGTCACCGCTCGGTTTCTGTTTGTATCATTGACGCGGGCAGTAACTGTCACCACAGACCTGCAATGGACCGCGACAGGGCCTGGCATGGGTCGAGCCAAGGCTATAGAACTCCGAGCATGGATGAGCGATATGCTAACTGGTCACCCAAGGGACTTGGCAAACTCAGGGTGCCCGATGCCCATATGATGAGTTGGAGCGAGTCTGGACTCCTTTCGTGATTTTTGCCGTCTGTCTGCGAAACCAGCAAGTGAGCATTATGCCATTTAATCCACTGTTTTCGAAAGACCTCAGTCACGACACCATATGCAAGAGGATGCTATGAGTTCATTGGCTTTCGGTAGACGCCGATAACCATCGCAGCTTAGACACCCGGCTTAAACCCTCGCATCATCATCATCACACCGCTTTTCGGCGCTGTTACCGTGTGACCTCACCGTTCCTCTCACCTGGTGACCTCACCTGGCTCCATTGTACCCGGGTTTAGTTGTGTGCTAGGTGCCCGTTCCGCTCACGGCTCCGGTCCGTCCCCCTTGAACCGGTCATATCAGTGGTGCCGAGCGGCGGCGAAAGTGCCGTCGACTCCAGACCGCCTCCATTGTCACGGCACCGGGAGATTCCAGACGGAGTCAAGAAGTTGGACGGCGCCGTGTGGACGCGAGTGAATAGCAGTCGGGCGCCGCCGCTGTGTGTCGACTGCAGTTGGGGAGTGTGGCCTCAGACGGCTCGTCCTGTGCTGACAGCCAGTCTGGTGGCCGGGGTGATTTCCCGGCGGCCGCGGTCGTTTTATTGCCGGCGATGTGGCGGCGGCCGCCATTGGGGCTGCTCTGCGGGGGTTTATCTGGACAGTTGACTGAGCGCCATCGGACCGCTGCCATTGACACGTCCATGACCTATTCGGTCAGAGTGGGCTGTGAACCGCGCGCTGCGAGCGGGTTTCGAGCTGAGTGGGCTCTGAATTGTGGGAAGTGTGTGTGCTCTGTGGGGTCTGAATTGTGGAAGTGGGCTGTAAGCTCTGACTTTGAGAATGGGCTCAGAGCTGCGAGTGGGCTTAGAGCTGCGGGCTGGGAGTGGGTTTTGAGTCGCTGGCTGCGAGCGCTGGCCCACGTGACCTCTCCAAATGGCTGCCGCCGAGCAGAGCGGGCCGGATGTCTCCTCAGAAGTCGCCGTCATACGGTGGCCGACTCCCAGACGTGGCCGCCGTAAAGGTCATTTCATGCTGTCTGAAGTGGTACCGTGAGGTGACTCCGACGGACGCGGAGTTCCGACGGTCAATGCGGAGAAAGTGTGCGTGCGGTGCCGGCAGTCCGACCGTGCCGCCTCCTTTCTTCTTTGTTGACCCTGTGCAGAAAGCGTCCAGGAGCAGTGCCCACCAGCCCGTGGGCCGGATACTCTGCTATCATTGTCAACCTGGGAGGAGCTCAGTGACGAGTAATGCGAGAGCGTCGCTAAAGTGACTTGGTTTTTCTTTCTATGCTGGAACACCGTGAAATGTCGATTCATGTTCCAGGAGAAGGAGTTAGAGAGAAAAGAAGTTCTACTACGCCCTGGTCTGTTTCGCTCCATATACGATCAAAGCAGTGTCATGCCGACCAGCAACGTCACTTATCAAATTTCCTTTCACCTCGCTCATCACTGTACTTGATACGGATAATATATTCTCGGAGTCAGTTTGTCGCCCAGGCGTGTTTAATTCAATTGTCCAATCTGAACTAGACCTTTCGGGAGGGCCGTTTGTCGCCACGTTTCAGCGGAGTTCACAGCTCGTGACCAGCTCGATGGCTGCTCTGGCCCACAGCTGTGACTCGGGTTGGCGAGATAAAGGCCATTCGATGAATTCGATTACGGCCCATCGCCGCACGAATTCCCAGTCGAGCGAACGCCCGCGGCTCCGATCGCGAAACTTTTCTCCTGAGGAAATGAGAGGGGCGTGCTTCAGATGGTCTAGCGTAGAAGTTAGAACAGACTAGACGAACAGCCAAGCTTTGTCTGTAAACTGGCTGATGCAGCCATGAACTCTCGGTGGTTGTTAGGCTGGCTGAGGGTCTGAGGTCCGCTGAAGTCTGTGTCTCCAACTATACCGTCTGCCCCACCTGTGCCACTCCCAGCGGCGGGCCGGACCGGCGTCGGTGCCACCTGCGGGTTCGCACCGTCCTGATTGTGGCCGCCGTCACAAATCTGGCCGTGGGCCGTCCCACAGACGTCCTTATCCAAGGAACAAGTCACCGAGAGACGGTGAACAAGACGGAATCAAATGCTTTGGGATGCGAAGTTATGATGAGTTGATTTTGATTTAGTGCAGTAGCGGTGGAACACCCTCAATTAAGGGGGGGGGGGCACTGCCGACTTTTGGTCCCATTATTTCCATGCAACACCCATAGGGCTAATGTTAAAATGCCAAAATCAAAGGGGGGCACGGTGCCCCGGTGCCCTCCCCGTTCCGCCACCTATGATTTAGTGGCACGCTGGGTATCTGCGCAGTTAGTTGCGAGCTGGTACCTACTGACTACTTTCCCCTGAAGATCAGGAAGCGAGTGTCATCGTCCCTACCGTCCTGACCGGTTGAGCCTGTTGTCATTTTTGCATACGGTGTGTGGAACTATTGGGTGCAGCCTCATTTTCCCAGGAATTGTGTATATTTTATGCACGGGCGATATGATTGAACGCTTCTTTGTGTTAAGCTGAAGTTCGTTGACCTTTCTGTGGAACTGTCTTGAGAAGACTGCTTTCTTGCGCTGAGAAAATGTATATCTTTTTTTCTGCATGGTATGATACGCGAAGCTCGAAGTATCATAAACTCAATCATTATGAATTAGACTACAGTTGAATCGGCAAAATAATCTGAATAGCCTAGTCTGTGGCTTATCATTTCTTAGAGACAAGAGGTTGCCGCTGTTGGTGAAATCGGGCATTGTGTCGCTGACCAATATCTCTGTCTCGTCCAGGTGCGTGTCGAAGAAGTACCCGCCGCTGCTGCCAACGGCCTCGATCGTCATCGTGTTCCACAACGAGGCGTGGACGACACTGCTGCGCACCATCTGGTCCATCATCAACCGGTCGCCGCGTGCCCTCGTCAAGGAGATTATCCTGGTCGACGACGCCAGCGAGCGGGGTAAGTTCTTAGCCGGAGAGGTAAAATTGTATGAGTGCGGTAGGAACCGAGATGGGTGGGTAGCATTGCACGAGGGCGGTACACCAGGGTCGGTTAAGTCGTACCTGATCTTAGTAGTACTGCTGAGGGCCAATACTGGACGAGAAGATGTTGGGGCTTTATGACTTCATCAGGGTGTCGCAAGAGGAGTTACTGGGTTGGCAAGGATTATAGCACTGAACTCTAAAACTCTAATGAAAATCGAGTCGTTTTCCGAAGGGAATTTCATCAGCAACGCTCCGCTGCGCGACGCTTTCCGGCCGTTCATTATGTAGCGCGCTTAAACTTATGGGTTGAACGTTTAAGCTAATTCTTAATTATGTTAATCCCATCAACCGAGAGATAAAACAGAACTGCCGCAGTCTAAATTTAATCACTGAGTGAGTGGTGCCATATTTATCAGGGACCGCTTTCATGATTGGTAGACCTTCATCAGTATATTCAGTTAGCTAGGAAATTGGCTCAGTGCTGCCAAGTTGGGCGATTGAAATCGCTATCCCCGGGACCAATTCATCAACGCCAACTTCGGAAAAGTCTACAAACGTTGATCATCTTGTGCGATGCTCACAACTTTGACAAGTGATCTTACCCGTCCCAGTTACGGAAGCGGCCGCGCACTTCTCATTGCTAAGCGCTCCTGTGAGCGCGCCGGCCAATATGAGTGAGTGGTATTTGTGTGGGGCCGGCCACGACTGAATACGGATTGTTCATTATGGGAGGGGCCTGCCAGCACGGCTTCCGTGGACTGACGCAGTGTAGGAGACGGATGGGATGAGTGGGGCAGTTGGGCACGGAGGATTGGGGTGGGGAATAATTGGGCATGGGAACAATGGAACGAGGATGAGTGAGACAGAGGGAGTCGGGCATTGGGGCACAAGTAGTGAGCTGCAGGGAATAATAGGTAGTGAGTATGGAGGTGGGATGGGGTACGGGGACAGGGTGAGTGAACTGAAGGAAATTGAGCACTAGCACGAGGCTGAGATTGAATGAGGTCCTGGACTGCGAGAGGACTGTTTTGACTCAGGACAGACTCCGTTGATGTCCTATACAGGCTCCGGTGTGTGGTGCGTAGGCGGAGTTCCCATTTTCTCCAATGTGGTGCGCTTTGTGCACTGCGGCTCCTATCTAGTCTGGCGTGCACGGAGTGCGGAGACCCTATTGCCACCGAGTGTGATCTGTGGGGAGCTCTCGCCTCCTCCGCTGTGCTGACGGACCCCATCTGCGGCCATTGATTCGCCGCGGCAGATGAGACGGGCCGTTATGGAGTGTGACGGGCCGCGCCGGCTGGCCAGCTGACACTGATTGGATGGCACCGGCGCCGGCCGGCGGGCAGCTCTGTGACAGCCCGTCAGGGCGCAGGACGGTGTGTGGCTGACGGCGCACAGCAGCGGCCCCCCGGGCGGTGGCAGCGCGCGGCCGGTGGCTGTCTCCGTCCGGGGAGGATGATATCCGCCCTGGGGGTCCATCCGCGGGGCTCTCTGCCCTAGGCGGTGTGGGTATCATGGGGAGGAAGGGCTTTCTGACCTGCGCCTCACGAGCTAACGAGGCACACCTGATCAATGCTCACAGCACGTGAAGAAAATCACAGCAGAAAATGAAAGTAGTTTTAATCAGCCAAGTCAGTGACGTTGTGTCTGGATAAATCTAATTTCAAAACGCATTGACACGTCCATTTTAATGGGACACTTCCTCGTATTCCTATTTTTATTTACACTTCTTTCTTTTTCTTCTTTGCTCCGCGTGTCGCGTTTCGTGTAGCGTCACAAATGCTCCTGCAGTGCCGCTTCATTTGACCCCCTACATCTGGCCGAACTCTGCTCTATGACCGATAGCTGCGTCGGGCCGGTCTAAATCAGACCCGTATTACGACCATCGACAGGCGTACTACAGCGTAATGCCGCGTAATGCCGCGGGCCGCGGTAGCTGTGTGTGCGGTGTGACGGTAATGTAATAACGCCGCCGCACCGCCGCTATCGGGTACCGCCTGAGGCTGGTCTCTGAGGACTGTGTGCTGTCTGAGTCCGCCTGTGAGCCCTGGGGACTGTGTGCGGACTGATCCCACCTGTTGGTCGGATAACTATTTTGTGACGGAGTCCACCTGTCAGTCTGAGAGCTGTGTGATGCCTGCCTGGCCCGTCAGTCCCCTACGGGGGACCGGATGCTGGGATGCGCAATTGCGATCAGTCTTGTCTTGTCTTGTCTTGTTCGTTGATTGTACTTTTCAGTCTCTTAACCCTATTCCTGGCGGGCTCCGCCGGGACAAGAAACTGGCGGGGGGGGGGGCGATTCGGCCCCCCCCTGAGATCTCGAGAACGAAGCAAGATAGCGACAAGCGGTAAACGGCATCGGATACGCACGGCCAAGATCTACAATTTTTACTAAGGTCATTTTCAGGTCAGGTCAAAGATGACGTCACAGGGGTCGAAAAAGTCAAAATGGCGGCACTAGATATGGAGAGAGTTTTTCTCGAATAACTTTCGAATTAGTCAAGATAGGAACAAACTAAGGGCATCATCGTGATCCTCTCGTCAATCCGCATCGAATGATATATATGTTGACCTCGAAAGGTCAAGGTCAAAGGTTGACCTCAGGTCACGTGACCTCGAGGTCATCATGTATATCATTCGATGCGTCTTGACGAGCTGAACACAATGAGACCATCCACGCGTCTGTATCTGGTTCCTGTACGGAGTTATTGGCCAAAAACCTTTGGTGACCTTTGATGACGTCACATGACCTCACAGCTGCCCAACAGCAAAACAGACCTCAAGGTAGTGAAGGTTGATCGTATATGAAGTCATGTATGGTATATGGGGCCATTCCGACCCGTTTTAGCGGTAAAAACAGGGAGTTGATTTTTCCCCCATTGACTTATAATGGGGAGGTCGCGAAATTGACCTGACCTTAGGTCACCGATATCAAAATTCCGAGATATACTAATTGCACATACTGGTACCCTAACTAAACCCTGAAGAGAAGAAATTGATCGGTCAAAAACTCTAGCTCTGGCGTGATTGCAAACTTTTCTGAGGTAGGGTCACCAAACCGCCTCTGGTGACCTGACCTGAGGTCAGATCAACTCAAAATTTTCAGACATGTTGCGTAGAAGCCTTTTAGGAAAAGTCAGAAAATTTGAGCTTCCTAGCTCAACGCGTTTGGGAGAAATAACCAAAAAACCTCAGGGGGGGCTCCTGAGGCCCCCCCCCGCCAGGAATAGGGTTAAAGGTAGTGTGCCAGCTTTCTTGGACCGTATGGAGTTAATGGCCCAGATAAGGAGAACCTGATTTTTAGAACTTATCCATACCTTCAAAACTCATGGAAACGTCTTAAATTCTTCAAATTTTGAGTACCCCAGTGCGAAATTCGCCCCGACGGGTTGTCGGTCGTACCCCAACCACATTTCACACCACTATGAACAATAAATGCACACACTGAAATCGCTATTACCGATATGCTCATCCAATCAAGTTTCGATAAACCCGTTCATCATCAGCTCCTGCGGTTTCGAACACGCCTGTTAGGTGGTGCGGTAGACCACGCCCAAAGCCAGGGCCCCGGTAACGTGAGGTAGCCGAATCAGGGCAGCGTGCGCTGACCCAAGCCGGAGCCGCGCGTCCTCCCGGTGTCATGTGATAGCCCGGGGCTGCCCGCGGGGATGCGGTAGACCGCGCCCAAAGCTGCGGCCCCGGCTTGGGTCAGCGCACGCTGCCCCGACTCGGCTACCTCACGTTACCGGGGCCCTGGCTTTGGGCGCGGCTTCTGCTCATACTTTGTGGTGCGGTGGTGGTGCGTCGGGCTGCGCGCTCTGACTTCGGCCAAGAAAAATGCGTCAGCTGATCATTGTCATTTCTGCCACTTGCGTGTGGTGAAATGGGGTCATAACTTATAAGACGGCTTTTTCATATCAATTATTTTACATAAAATCATATTTCAAACCATAAATAATGTTCGACAGCCAAATAAAAGAAACAATACCAATACGGGCTTACAGTTTAAGGCTCGACATTGTGTTGTCTACGATTAGACAGCTGATAACTCATTCCCGTACGTCGTATGGTCGTAACACTATAATGACCTTTGCTTATTGTCACAAGTGCGCCGCATTCGCGATTGTTGCCCGACGCCTGTTTGCAGGTGAGCCCACTACAGTTGTTATACATATCTAAAAACCGATAAACTTTTAGGCGAAAAAGGCACTATTCCAGGCCCATTTTTGATTTTTTTTTTGCGATATTAGGTAAAAACAGAAGCTTCTTATCCTAGGAAAAATAAAATGGGAAATCTTTCAAAGGTGGCACACTACCTTTAATGTTCGATACACACTATGGCAATTGGCAACTTAGCGGCACCCGGCTAAAAGTCGTTGGGCGAAGGCAGACAGATGCCGGAGAGAGCGAGGGTTCCAGGAGCAGGAACTGTCACCAGTGGGCGATCGGCCTTTACTCAGCCAACGGAGTGTTTATATCACGGAGGTGTCAGGCATGAGCCCAAATGATATTCTTTCGAATCCCCTGCTTCAAGTTGAGAAGAGCACGAAAGTTACGAGCCGCCTTTATTTTCACGGTCGTAATCGCCACTTACTCGCCACTACTTTCGTATCCCGCATTAGATGCTGCTAGCTGTGAACATTCTTTGTCGCCAACTCGTGGTTATTCGGGCCATCGATAGCGAACCTCCATTCTTCAACCAAGGTTTGTCCGGGGGCAGGCTGGGGCCAATAAATTTCCTATGATTCCAGATATAGCACGTTGGATGCAGCATTCTGAAGCCATAGCAGGACACCAGAGCTTTGTGAACCGGGTCCTAAAGTTGATTTATGTGAGGGGACCAGTAATATTTTCTTAATGACGGGAATATCGCATAAATTGAAGGAGGAAGATGAAGGTGATTGCTTAGCGGCATTTTTACATTTTTCAGATTCATGGTGCTGTCTTGCCATGCTTCTAATGTCTTGAATAATTACTTTTTCTCTACATTTCTTTGGTGTTCTGCTCCCAGGAGGAATGGTTTCAGCGTCAGTTCGGTGTCTGTAGCTCAGCCCGGTCAGTGTCAGCCCGGTGTCGACACGGTGTTGGCCCGGTGTCGTCCTAGTGTCTCTAGCTCAGTCCGGTGTCCGATCGACCGGCGGTGATGTGTCGGCCGCCGATCGACCCGCTCCGGCCGATCCCGGCGACGAATTCCCACCGAGGCGAACCGAGTGGGGCCGATTCGGCAGCCGGCGGCGCGGCGGTGACGCGCGGCTGAGCCAGATTGCGTCCCAGGTGGATCGCTCTCCAAATCGACACATCGTGATTCGTTTCTCAGTTGGTGAATTCCTGCTCCAAAGCGATAGCGTCCCTGCGGGGTGAATCCCTATTGCCTGTCAACATCATCAGTACGGTCGTCGTCGCCAGCTGTTAGATGAGGTTTGGCTGTTCTTGGCATGTCTTTTTGTGTATTATTCAGTGCTTTTAGAGTTTTCTCAGCAGTCAGAACTATTGGGAAACAAGTTGTGCTGGCTCCGTCATATGGTGACGGCTATGGAAGGAGTTTGAAAGAAACCCAGGTGCTGCATAAAACTTCAGATTGCCCTTCCGCTCCCGAATATTGCAAAACATCTGAAATTTTCACTACATTTTCCTTATTTTTTTTTACTCAAAAATGTATATGCATTGATAATGGAAAAAATGCATAAATATTCGTTTTAATGCATCAAAGTCATCTTGCTTCATTGACTTCAGACTGTGATCTCAAGATCTTACAGTTGATCGTATCCTTTCGACATTGCGGTTACGATACAGTTATGCCGACGCTGCAAAAGTCAAAAGCTCGAAAGCTTTACATAGAGAGGCATACTAGTTAGTATCACCACATTCCCTTTTGGTGATTGTCATTTCTTTGTTCAGAGTCGAAAGCTAAAAGGATCTAGCCCATACCTACCTCGCTATTTTCATGTATGTCTTGTCCAGCACAGACGGTTTCCAGCGAATATCCTCAAAGTAACAGGGCACGTAACGGACGCCCACTTTCCTCAGAATAGGACCGCGATGCTTGGAATCTTGTATAAAAGCTGCAATGACTCGCTACTGAAATTGCCCGCCGGTTGTCCAGTTCCAGGCGAGCTGCACTATATGTAGGCACACCGCGGAGTCAAGGAGTGCAGGGGGCAGACGTTGGCATTCTTGAACGTTTATTTGAGGGTGCAGGTGGCACTAAGGAGGGTCATTTTGACTTGTTTAGCGAGACTGGTATTGATGTAGCGGCGTCGTGTGAAATATGCAACACAGCCAGCTGGGACACAGGAGCGAGCGACACGAAACTGGAATAACGAAACCCTGCTATCGCAAATTGACGTCTGAATACTTTCAGCTACCGCGATGCATTTTCTGTCTATATGTGTTTTTTATCCATCATGGGCCGTTCAAAGCTGATGATAAATGACCAGGAAGAGACCTAACTCTTGCTTCGGATGCCCATAACAGTATCTGCTTGCTCTGAAATCTCGCGGGCGGGTGCTCCAGTAAATTAATGGAGTTATCACGATTCAGTTGTAACAAAACATGCATATGAATTCAGAATGAACTTCGAATAACGTTTGCAGCGATGTGCGCTAAAAGCATTATGTGATGCGTACTGCCATTAAATTAATGAGCTTGAGTAGAAGATTCAGCACGACTCATCTATGCATCAACGCGTGAGGTTGGTTAACGTTTGCGGACGAATGTTAAAAGCCAGCATACTGCCACACAGACAAATTTGAATAATACTATTGTGTGTAAACGTTGGCCGTTTTCACCCTCTCTTTTTCCTAAAACCCATCTGAATACCCTCACTTAGTGCGGCCGTTTGGCGGTATTCGTTATCGTTTTCTGTGGTCAGGTTTTTGTTCGGTCGTTTTTCGTTCGGACAGGTGGGACCGCCGGCCGGCCGAGCGGCGGAGTGGGCCGTTTGCCTCCGACCCAGGTCACTGACCTGGCGTCCGGGAACACTCGGCAGCTGCGCTCGTAGCCCCGTCACGGCCAGCGACGGAATGGGACGCCCGGGACGGTGGCCAGCCTGCTTGGGAGTAGAGATGTTCTCGACTTTTGGAATCTCGGATATTTATTCAACCTCATTAATTCAGATGCTAAATTCGCATAGCGTTTTTTCATTTTTACTGCCATGGTAATTAATATAACACTTGTTTATATCCCCCGTATATCCTCATCCTATCTTGTGTGTTCCAAAGTTCCTATTTCCATTTCTTTCCTTTTCCACACCCTCTGCCGCCTTTCCACTCCACCTCTCCCGTCTGAATATGAACGGAACTCCGCCGTCGCCCTCGCTGCCCGTCTCGGCGGCGGAGGTGGAAGTTGGCCGGCCACGTCGCCGCCCCGGTATGTCCAGTGACCTTGTGTGGCCGGCTCGTGGGAAGGACACCGTTCGGCGACAGTTAATGATGGGACCGACCCGGTAGCTGTATGGTGGTGTGACCTTGCCCGAGTCCAATGAGTGCCGTGACCTCATGGAGGCTCCTGGAAGGGTGCTGCGATTCCAAGTGCTGGGGAATGTGGATACCGCTGGGTGACGTTCTGGTTCTAATATCGCTGATCTGTTGTTGTTGGGCTTGTGTTTCGTTTATGAATGATGTGTCGCTGTGTAGTTGTTATTCTACCATCGTTTCAAGCGATGCTACTTCTTGTTCAATTCGAAAATGATTTGAAAATTGTCACCGCACTTTAAAAGTTAGTCACATATATGTGTTGTCCGCCCTCCGCGGCTGGTCTTTCGGGACCTTTTGTGGGCACATCACGTGCGGGCTGGGTGTAAACTCAATTTGTTCCTGTCCAGATTCCACCGATTGACGACACTCCCCACAAAACTAATGCTGTTCAACTCGCCCCTTTTGCTGAATTGAACTGAAGCACAGGACTGAAGAACCCTTTCACCGGTCTACGCATCGCGGCTGTCCTGTATATGTCCGCCTTTCCAATCAGCATGTCTTTGTGTGTCGCCGGGTGGTCGTCCCCGTGGGACCGCAGTCCGGCCCAGTGCGCAGTGGCTACCCGAGTAATCTCGGCCTGGCCCTCCACGGGGCCGCCTCTATACTGTGATTGGCCGTCCCGACCCGGTGTCGGTGTCCGGCCGGCTCAATGCGCTCATTTGCCGGGCGCCGCTCCCGTCAACAGTTCCAGCAATGGTATCTCCTCCCCGCGGGACGGCATCATAATAAACACTCCGCCCCCGGCGTCCGCTGGGGCCCTCCTTTCACCCGCCTCTGAGAGAGGCTGTGTCATATGATGAGCCACTCGGCCGGCTACTTGGGTCGACACTGAGACGCTGGGTCACAGTGCAGCTGACACAGTATATCCCGGGATACTGAGACACAACAGCATAGCTGACTCGGTATATCCTTGGTCGACACTCACCCACTATATCCCTTGTCGACACTGGGCCGCTGGGTCAGTCACATTGACCCACTGGGTCAGTGTAACTGGCCGGTGTATGTAGCCGCTGCGAGTTCGTGTATGCTGACCGCTGCAGCGAATCCGTAGGCTGCGTCGGGTAAATGGTCCGGAAAACAGGCCGTTTGTAATGTATTGGAGAGCACGTTCAAAGGTATTATTACCCGCTGGAATGCCCTGCCTTCATTGTTTGCTGGGGTCGTGGGTACGAGCTAACCCAGGTCCGGGTGGGGAGTGCCGTGCGCCCCGCCCAGCGGCGTCCGGTCCGACCACCGAGAACGTCTCGCCGTGCTCTGTGGGTCGGTGGAATTGGTGGGTGCGGGCAGATGTCTGCAGTAGTTAAGGATAATTCACTTCTAGAGACCTGTTTGTGGGTCAGACCTGGTCGAGCATGGCTAGATAACGTGATACGCTCCCTCTTTTTGCAGCTAACTAAACAACCACCGATGATAGCAATCCGATTCGTGGAAAGTGCATGAATGGATGATGTAACTACATAAGACAACATCCTCCTGGCCAGATAGGGCCTCCGAGGCCGGTGGGACGGCGCCGGTCGCCTTGTCGCCCGGTCGCCCGGTCGCCGGTTGCCGGTCGCCGGTCGTTTGGTGTGTTTTTCAGCGTCCCTTCTCGGCAATCAATAGTGGGCGGGTGTCTAGAAGGCGCCGCCGCCGCGGGGCTGGTCATTGTGCAACTGGCCGCGGCGGGCCGAGCTTTGACGACAGGTAGGGTAGTTGCGGGCCTCTTCTAGACGAACAGTGGAGCCGTTGTGGGCCGAGGACCGAGCCTTGCCGAACGGTGGGGGCCGCCGCGGCGACGCTGTCGGGTCCTGTCCGGTCACCACCAGCGCTGGCGGCACGGGATGGCGGTGAGCGGTGGCTGATATCGACTGGCAGACACGACCGATGACAATGGATCGCCGATTGTCTGCTTTCGACTGCCAGCCGCGCCGGCGGCGGGCTCGGAACACTGCCTGCCGGCAGTAGGTGGTCAATGTGTGGGGACCACGGCCGCTGGCCGCCGATACTGCTGCCACCGGCTGGTGGTCACGAGTAGCCACAACACCGGCTGGCGACCTTGGAAGATCTCACGTTCGTGGTCTCCTTGGCGTACCACTCCGCCCACGCTATCCACGACCGCCCATGATATCCACAACTATACTTACCGTATTGCCTCCGCTGCCGCTCACCGCGCACGTCTGTTATTTAACGTCCGTCATGGCCCATGGGACCGCAAGCCGCCCTCCGCTGGCCCTCCCAGTGTTATTTACTAAACCAACCAGCGCCCATCGCTCTCCATTGAGCCTCCCTGCGCCCATCACTGACCCTCACTTTGTCCTCTCTGTGTTACAGACTTCTTGGGCGCCCAGCTGGAGAACTACGTCTCCCGGCTACCTGTACCTGTGGAGGTCCTTCGCACAGGCACCCGCTCTGGCCTCATCCGCGCCCGACTACTGGGGGCCAAACAGGCCCGAGGTCAGGTCATCACCTTCCTGGACGCCCACTGCGAGTGTACAGAGGGCTGGCTAGAGGCTATGCTGGCCCGCATCGCTGAGAACAGGTGAACACGCGCCGCCAGGGTCGGAGGGGAAGGGTGGGGGGGGGGGGGGGCGAAGGACAGTGCAGGTGTGATCTATAGCCGCAGGGTGTGTGTGTGTGTTGCGGGGGAGGGGAGGTGGAGACAGGTGTGTTGAATAAGAAGGCAGGTGTTAGCTCTGAACCCCCGCTGCGTTAACTGACATGGGCCCGGGCTGATAACTCAGGACAGGTGCCAATGTCCGCCACTACTAGTAGATGTTTTAGCCAGCACTGTTTGTTGTTGTGACCCCAGTGTTGTATCCCAGTTTATTGTCCCGTGACTTGGGATTGGGCCGCGTCATAGCGAGGCCCGATTCTCTGTACTGCACTGAGCCGTCATCCGGACATTGACATATTGCCATCACAGCACAGCAGTACAGAGCTAACAATGACATCTCACACACTATGACTGAGTGACCTTGGGATGAGTGCAGCCGTCCCGGTAGTGGGAGCGACTCATCCCTCCCGTGTTAGTGTGTGTGTGTGTGTGGGGGGGGGGGGGGGGAGGAAGTATCCGCTGGGTGATGGGTACACCTTCCCGGATGCGTGTTAAGGTAACGGATCCTCGCCAGATACGTAGTCGCGTGGTGCTAATCACCATACATGTGATGCGGGTAATATCATGCCGTGCTGCGTTTAGCGGTATAATTGGAAGCCAACCGTAACTAGCACCTGCTCAAAGACTCGAGCGTCTGCTTACTAAACATGGCTGTTCGTTAAATACCGTTTTGCTGAGAGGAGGATGTGGCATGGATGACAACTGTCTTCACAAATTAATTGTGTTGGTCTAGCTTTTTGTTTACATCTCAAACGATCACGGTCTCTTGTGGGTTTCTCACGATTACAACGGATTAGATGCCCTATCCCATTGTCGTGCTATGGTCTATGAGCCGTTATGCACGCCCCATTGTATGGGCAGTGGGCACGGTCCACATGTCTCCCCTTTTTGGCCTTGGTGTTGTCCGCGTGTCCCCACTGTTACTCTCACGGTTCCCACGTGCCAAATTCCGGCTTTGTGACCTTGAATGGGTAGATGCTACCGGTGACTGACGCGTCAATATTGAAAATGTGGCGATGTGTTGCACTGTCGCACCATTCGATCAGTACCGGTTATTGCATTGTATCAGTGACCAATCAACATCAGCGCACTGCACCGCTGCTTGGTCAATGACGATGGACACAGGGTTCAGTCGTGCCCGAGGCCTATTCCACACCCGGCAGCAGCATGTCATCACACATGGTGACGTAACAGGCCTCTGGTCTCCAGTCTGTCGAGCCGGTTGACCGGTTTAACACACTGAGTTGCCGGCGTCCCAGCCGTCCTAGCTGACAGAGTGTCTATCGTCTCTCACTAGATTTCCCTTCCCCTGCTCAGTGCGCTTCCACGCTGCAAATTTAACTTCCTGGCATCTTAACATTGCAGGAGCTCATCCTTGACCTTCGCCACGAACCATTGTGCCTCTGTACTGCGGCTCACCGGTCCGCTACCCATCCCGCCCCACCCAGCCCGACGCGCCGCCCCACCTGTCCAGGCCGGAAGGGGACGCTCACCACCCTGACTCGGATCACGGGCTTCCAGGCACACCCTCTATTTCCGCCTACCAATGTCCCCCGTAATGAGGCCCATTGGGCGGTCACTTTGTCCGCATGCGTCGTACTACGTAATTTGGAGCTGAGCGGTGGTTAGTCACGGTGCGTAATTGCTGGGTGTTTTGGTGATGCGTGTTTTTGTGTGGAGTTGGACTCACTACTGGTGCCTGATATGCCATGCCCATATCCGTGTAGGTTTCAGGTGTATATGGGAAACCTGACCTCTCTGTTTGTTAGCTCTCTGCCATAGAGCTGCTCTACCGGTGCTGACTGGAGTACTGCGCTGTTGCCAGGAAAACGGTGGTGTGCCCCATCATCGACGTCATCTCGGACAGCACCTTCGAGTACGTCACTGCGTCGGACATGACGTGGGGCGGCTTCAACTGGAAGCTCAACTTCAGATGGTGAGTCGCCCGCTGTGGTCAGTTCACACCAGTAGCGAACTGGACTACTGAACGGTCTCGTCCATAAACACAGATAATGCTTATGTCAGCGTCTAGTGGTGTCTGGCGACGTCCCTTCCTGTCTGCTCCGCCAGTATTTGTGAATGATCTAGTTACAAGCCACTACTGGGTGGCAATCGCTATCGACGGACCGCTTCCGCTGTTTTCTGATTTCCCGCGTTCGCTTTCCTCGGCGGTACCCTCTGTCCTTCCTTTCTGTCCTTCCTTTCTGTCCGCCCGTCCGTCCGCCCGACCGTCTGTCTGTCAGTCCGTCCGTCCGTCCGTCCGTCCGTCCGTCCGTCCGTCCGTCCGTCCGTCCGTCCGTCCGTCCGTCCGTCCGTCCGTCCGTCCGTCCGTCCGTCCGTCCGTCCGTCCGTCCGTCCGTCCGTCCGTCCGTCCGTCCGTCCGTCCGTCCGTCCGTCCGTCCGTCCGTCCGTCCGTCCGTCCGTCCGTCCGTCCGTCCGTCCGTCCGTCCGTCCGTCCGTCCGTCCGCCCGCCCGCCCGCCCGCCCGCCCGCCCGTCCGTCCGTCCGTCCGTCCGCCCGTCCGCTCACCCACCGATGACTCACGGGTACTATCCGTACGACAATCACCTACTGCCGACCGCAGATGCGGCCGTGAAAAGCGCTCTAACGGCGCTCCGACCGTATTCCGTGAGTCGCACTCGGTCGTTGTCGGCTCTCGTCCGCCGCAGTAGGTGCAGTCGAGCGGATACGATGGCTTGTCACGAGGCGATGGTGACAGTCACGGGACGCTGGATTACTGTTGTGCTGGTCTGGGCTTTCCGGGGTCTGATGGTCTCTGCTATTAAGAGCTTGGAGATGATGAGACCGTCTGAGCTACTTCTGTTTCTCATTAACTTGGCGATCCTATGAAGCGCGTCCTGACCAAGTGGGACTTCTTGAAGATCAAGGAGACGATTGGATCGACTGATTGGAACTCGCTGAGAAAAATTATTGGTCCTAACTCCTAGTTTCATTCTGAACATTTCATTTTCAGTCCGCGGTCGATTCAGCCTTGCCTGTTCAGTACTGAAACCGTTACGATCACTGACAGCTTTGATGTCTCATCAAACGAAGCCTCGCTTTTTCAAGTAAATGGTAAGTACTTCTAACTGTGGCTAAAAAAATGAAGCGTATCTTCCTGTGCTTTCACAAAGCAAACCAACGTGGTGGTGTATATTCACCTGATATAACTCACATTCTTCTCACATCCATCTCCGTTTCTCTTGTCTGAGCACACGCCAGCTCTCCCTCAGGCGCGTTATTATTCTCTGCGGTACAATTCTGACAGCGCCGGGCTTATCAGGCGCCGCGCGGCGCTGCAGCGGGCGTGTGAAATGTATGGCGCACGAGCAGGGCCGCCTTGCTGGAGAGCTGATAATTTGTCGGTGTGGGGCGGCCGGTACACAGCCGCCGGCGGCCGGCCGTCTTACCGTCGCTCTGTATTCTTCAGAGTGGCCGTCATTGATCGGTGGCCGGCGTCGGCCGGGGCAGTCCGTCTTCAGGGATGTGAGGGGCGTCAGTCCACATCACTGATGTAAGGAGCGTCCGTTATAGGCATAGGATTGTAAGTGGCGTCAGCTTGCCACCAGGGAGATAAGGGTTGTCATTTCGGGGCCTGGAGAGTATGCATCGCAATGTCGCCTCGGTGGATGCGTGACAAATGTGATGACAAACAAACGTGACAAATTAGGTGCCATGTTCAGTTCACTCAGTTCCCTGTCACCATCTACAGCGCTCGACCTATGATCACGTAACAATGCTGGACAGCAGAGGGGACTGCGGCACAGCGGAGAGAGCGGAGGGAGGGGAGTTGACCGTCCAGGAGGAGACGGAAATGGAGAGAGACATGTCCATCAGGAGCCGCCGCGGACGGAAGACGGTAGTAAACCGTCTGGACGGCCTGTCTACGACCGGAGCGAATGACACCGAGACGGACACCGCCAGCTCACCTGTGTAATGGGCCGGACGACGGACAGCTTCTGTTCAAGAATTTAGAACCCGCTGTGGTGCCCGGTCCCGGTATTAAAAGGATGTAGCCGCGGCGGCAATAAAAACATGTTTTCCTGCAGCGAACGTGGCCTTGGAGAATCGCCGTGTCACGCTAGTCTTGTGAGTAGGGACCGGTGGCTCGTGGTTGCTAGTTTCGCTGCCCATGCTCTCACAATGTCCAGGAAGACGCCGCCGTCTGAATTATTCCAGGGAGTGAAATGGGTGAACGTTTGGCTAAATTGCTGCTCTTAAACATTCGCTGTTGAGAGAATTTCTCCTCCTTAGCCTCTGTCGACATTCACTAAGCACTGCCCTGTTCACTTCATGGCCATCCATGAACAGCGAGAGAGCTGAACGATGCGATCCTTGCTTGGAACGTTCGACATTCCCCAAAGCCTGAATGTCAAAGATTTCCTCAACGCAGTATCATTTTATCATCGATAACGTGTTTGACGACGACAATGCATTCTCCGTTGAAATACTGGGGCGATCGGGTCATTTCTCTGTAACAGCTACTCCCACGTTTTTAGCTAGGCACAACTCCATTTCGTCACCACGGCTCAACACTCAGCCGTACCAGCAAGACGGCCTGGTTGCTATGGCAACTGGCCGTCTGCGGCCGCGGCTGCCCTTCACCGTAAGGTCATGACCCGACCGCCCGGGGCACCAGTAGATCCTGTACCCAGCGGGGTGTCTCCTCTCTCCTTCCGTAAGGAGGGGAGGGGAGGGGGACGATGGTACCCAAACGGGCCATATGAACCCACCGCTGGGTCTTTGACCTTTGGGTGACCTTTGTATCAATTAGTCGGATAGAACGGCTAATGTCAGTGCCGGGAGCAGAAATGGAGGCTATCTCATTAGCGATTGGTAGGACCTGGAGCGACGTGTCTGTCAGCTGTGTTGACGGGGAATACTTCACCTGGTCGGAGTGATATTGGACGCTGTGCTTCTGCCGCGGGGCCCCAATGACAGTTCAGAGATGGGTGACACTCCACCAGCGAGCTGGGACGAAAAATATGGGGACAGGATGTGATTGAAGTAGGTATCTTTCCAATGGAAAGTACCACGAACGGTGACGCGCTGTTGTATCCATTGCCTTTCAATTTTGGTGTCGCATCACTGGTGGTGATGCTCGAGTGATAGAAGCGGGAGGAGAGAGATAGAGAGTGAGTGAGAGAGAGAGAGAGAGAGAGAGAGAGAGAGAGAGAGAGAGAGAGAGAGAGAGAGAGAGAGAGAGAGAGAGAGAGGCGCCCGCTTACCTTTCCGGGCCTGGCGCGATCCTGGGCGAATCCGTTCAATCAAGTGGGGGATTGGGCGTCCACTGAGGCGTAGAACGGGCGGCGGGGACGGTTCATTCGGTCTCCGGTCAGTAACAGTCGCTGCCGGGTGATGGATGCCGTGTGCGCGTGTGTATGTGTTGACACTCTGGGAAGAATCGGTATGGTACTCTCTTTGTGTATACGCGTCGTATCCGCAATGCATTACCTCTGTTCGCTTGGATAAACCCAATGAGTGCTATACAAGGAGTTTCCATCCAACTAAAGATCCATGGAAGGTACACCGGAATCGGATCTATAAACGTCTCATCCCAATATTGTTGATTATTGTTCATGCGTCACCGCCCAAATCCGCCTGGCGCGTCTGATGCTCCATAATGTGTATGCGCGCGTGTGCTGTGTGCTGTGTGGCGTGTGTCGCTCGGTGTCAGCTAATGGAGCTCCGCTGTTGCCGCCCGTCCCGCGCCTCTGTTCTGTCACATCGTTGTGCCGCGGATGCATCACCGGCTTACACGCCCCCTCCATATCGGGGACGGAGATATATCCGAGCCCGCCGCCGTGGCCGTCATTGCCCGCCCCGCCCCGCCCCGCCCTCCTGCTGTCCCCATTGACCGGCCTCGGGTCGGCTCTGACGTCATACGGCCGTGTGGCGCACGTCGTCATGACATCGGCCGGCGCTGTCTGGCCCTCTGTCCCTCTGTCCCAGTCCTCTGTCCTCGGTCAGCTTCTACTGCCGTCCTCTGTCCAGCGCCATCGTCCTCAGTCCTCTAGTTATATACTCTGATGAGTGATGGCTGACCGTTCTCTAGTCTCTACCCATGCCTATTGTCCACTACCATCATCCGCTCTCTCCCGCTTTCTAACCACTGTGGGTCGCTGCTGATCTCTGTCGCTGACCTCTGCTGTAGCTCTCTGTCGATAACATTTCGATGGGATGCTGGACTCGATATCGGGCGTGAGGGTAGATCACGAACTGTAGCTGCAAAGTTACAGCGAAGATCGTCACGATCTTATCCTCACCGGAGCGGTTCGTGATCCGGATTTAGAAATGTCGTGATGTAGATTCATTTACTTTCGTGAGCCAGGTCCGCCAATGTTCGTGAACCAGATACACCGGGGGCTGTTCATGAGTGAAAGAATGCTCGTCTGGGGGGTTCACTGATCATCCTATTTTGGGTTTTTGGTTTGGTCTTGCTGGGGTATCTTCGTTGTAGTTCAATTGTCTTTCATTTTTTTTTTATCGCTGTCCGCATGCTTCAGTTGTAAACGTATTGCTTACCTATACCCATGATGAACGTGACGTGTTGAAATGAGCATTGCGGACATTGCTGAGTGCTCAATTTATTCGTGCTCAAAGCTAATCCGTGACTCATTAATAACTACTGCCTAATTATTCAAACATACCCACTGAAATTGCTGAATTGGAGGTCATACGCAGTGTCAGCGCAAGAATGGCGGCCAATTTTTGGAGCCACTTGAAAGCAAAGACAAGAATGGCAGTGCACATACTTCTTTTAATTTTGTTTTTGATGCCCCCAGCTCGTTTGTTAGGGCAAATTTATGTTATCGTGAATAGCACTTTGCTGCATAGGATATGCGACTGATTATACTGTATGTCGCTTCAATAATACTGCCGGCATTGACCGCAGGGTCTAGACGCCATGTCATGGGTCAGTCGCGTGGCCGAGTAACGTGTTTCGCCAACTTATTAAAACAGGTAATCTATGAGCGTTGCAACTATCAATTACCCTGGGGACTAACAACACAGCATGGTCATTGGCCATTGTCATGAATACCTAAGTGTTATTGGTGGTCCTAACTCCTAATGTAATAAATAGCCCCTATGTCATCCCTGGCTCTGAGGGAAATTTATGAAATACATAATGCTTATCTTTTTTTGACGCATGAAAATTGTTCTTATATAAGAAATTAAGAAAGTGGCATGCCTGTTAGCTAACTTGCCTACCAGTTGAAAAATGATTTGCATATTTTTTTTTGCATATTAACTCCTGCTGAAAAGAGCCAAGCAATGTGGAAGTACGGTGGTAGCTATACAGATAATTCACATTCTTAATTAGGCATTTTACTTATTAATGAAACGCTTGAACTGTGCTTGAACACAAACTTGGTCCAATAACTTGGTCCTTCAACGAATTGGTCCAATAAGGGCAAACTTCGTCGGTACAAGCTTTTCATTGTTTTGTATTTTGGAATGCGTTCTGTGCCTCCTATACTTGCACTGCTCACATTGTGTCTCGAATCAAGCTGATTGATTTTAATTGCTGTTCGGAAATTATTACTGCATGTGTTGTTTTACATTTCGGTGCAACTAACGGCGCTGTACCTTCGGCTGTGCAGGGTCTGTGGCGCAGACATCACTCGATTTACCAGACCAGCCGTTGCCAGGGTCGGGTGGGATGCCTATTGCAAAATATCACTTCGACTATCCTGAAAATGGGATGGGAGACGCAGCAGCGATCCTCGGGGTAGCACTCGACGGATCGACGTGGCACTGCTGGCGTTCAATACACGCGTGCTGCCGCCGGAGCGAGTAATCCTCCCTCACTACATCACGTTGGTGCTGTCTATTGATGTGTTATTGAGCTATCAAATAACCCAAAGTGAATCGCGCCAGTAATGAATTTAAAATAGTGAAACATTGAATTTTTACAGCTACCGCTCCCGTTAATGGCATTTCCATTTTGCGTTTTATTTTTGAATGACTTGATTACATGTCAAATAAATTTTCTGCTGACGGTCCAGATCGAAGCCCTTCATCTGTCTGAACCTCAGGGTTGAGGGAAAAGCCAAGCTTACCGAAGTTTTTGTTAATGAAATTGAATAAATGTGTCCGTCGTTTCAAATTAAAAATGGGTACTTAGGTACTCTGCTATTGCGTCAGCTGATGATGTAACTTAATTAGTATCGTCAACCGTCACCCTAAACCGATTAAGCCATCAACTTTGAAACATTTTGCTCAGAGAAATGTGGGAAGAGGTTAAGTCACCTCCGAGCGACTAGGCTCAAATGACTGCATAATACCCCGCTCCAGTTGGGTGGCAGGGTATAGACACGATTCTTGCTACTAAATTAGGATTCATCATTCGTCTAAGCCAGTGGTCGGCAGGTCATTCGGGGTCGTGCCCCCTTTTTGGGCGCCAGGCAGGGCCATTACCCCCACCTACCAGACCCCATTGCTGACACAACCAAGTTTACTGAAATTCCATACCGCCCTGGAACTCTGGGTATTTGTGCATTTCCAATGCATCAAATTTAAAACATGACACTTCCTCCACAAAACATTTAATGCCTATATCCCAGTAGCGGCGGAACACCTTCAATTAAGGGGGAGGGGGGAGCACTGCCGACTTTTGGTCCCATTCTTTCCATGCAACGCCCATAGGACTAATGTTAAAATGCAAAAATCGAAGGGTGCACGGTGCCCCGGTGCCCTCCCCGTTCCGCCGCCTATGCTATATCCCATTTAACCCTTGTACGTATAGGGGCGGCGGGTGGTTTTTCGTTAAAAGTTCACGTAAAAGGCATTGGATCACGACCAAATTGTACCCTCGAGCCCATCATTTTTTTTTTTTTCACCAGCCCGGAAAATATCATGACCTGAGACCAGTTTTACCAACAGAAAAATAACCGCCTGCCGGAATTTTTGCCTCAAGACCGCTTCACATACGCGATGGGCTCGTAAGCGGATAGGGCTTTACTGTTTACGTTCCATATGTGAAACGATCTTTAGGCAAAAATTCCGGCAGGCGGCTATTTTTCTGTTGGTAAAACTGTCCTCTGGACCCATAATGACCGTTGGCTTATGAGCTTTTTCTGGAGATCATCTTGAGCCATAAAATCTCACTTCAAGAAGTTATAGCGGGTCCCGATTTTCTCGACACTTATCATTGCCGTCTTGAATGAGACGGAATGACCAAGGACCTTAGAAATGGGCAGCAGCGGCTTCCTATGGTCACGGGTAGCACGCTCGTCTTTTTTATGCACAGCTCCATATCAGAGTCCGAGAGGCCGCGGGGGTCCGATCGACTCCTCCCCCTTACGTTAGCGGCTGTTGAAACGCCAACAGACGGGCGACGGTTAAAAGTTGCAGCTGCTTTTGAACGACTGTACGGAGGGGTGAGATGGTGAGGCGAGCAGGTACGTGAAAATTGGTATCTAATCAATGTGTGCTGTGCCTTTGGCCTGGGCTAATCTTTGAACCCTGGGATGCAACAGTCACGATGGCTCCATCACTGGAGCTACAAACTCTAAAAAGATAGGCTTTCTCAGAATCCCTCATTACCCCCACCGAAAGGGCTCCATTACCCCCAAAGGGGGCATGCCCCACCATTTGCCGACCCCTGGTCTAAGCGCCACTCTCTGCGTCACCATTGACCACGGCATTGCGTCCGCCAGTGGTTCAATCAATTAAAGCTCTGGCCACCATCCTCTGACCTTATCAAGCAATGGAGGGCTTAATGTCTCACCCGGACTCCTTCCCCGAAACTCGGCCGGACCTCCCGCGGCGGAGTATTTCAATCGGGCGACGTGGTGGCGACTTACTCTGCGCTCCTCTCACGCCAGACGCCACAGGACCGCCCACGGAGTGGTCACCGGTTCGTTACGGTCGGTGTCTATCAGACCGTGAAGAGCCTCGCACGGGCGCGCGCCACGCTGGGAGGGGAGTTGTCCTGGCGTGATTCCGCTACCGGGGAGGGCCAGTGATTGGTCTCCACCCGTGTGCGGTGTTGGGGCGACAAGTATCCACCCTCTACCAGGGGTTATAGTGTCTGTCTCTGTCCATCGAAGGAGCTTTATGACATGTAGTTGCCTGCCTCTGCCCATGTGATGAAAACCCATAACGCTGTTCGGGTGGTAGTGAAGGCCTTGGCGATCGACCTCGCCGTTCGATGCTGATGGTTATTGACGGATTCATTGACACATGCTACCGTCCAGCGACGCATGAAGAATAGGTACGGCGTGGTATTGATTGGCACTATTGATCTCTCACCAGTCACCGGGTAATACCGAGGTTCGTACTCTCACGCAGTGAGTGGGCACGATGGTGTTAGCAAGGGCGTCTACATATACCTATTGCCGATCCCAGGCTCGCTGTGTTAGGCGCTACTCTCTGGACCGGGAGACGGCTGCCGTTCGGTTGGCCGGCGGCGGCGACCCCCGATCGATGATTTTACCGCCGCCGCTGCTCTCACCCGCTCCAGCGGCACACGGTGGACCGGTGGGGCCGCCGACACTGGCCCTCGGGGGATCGTCAACACCGGGCGGCACCGCTTCAGACGACCACCGAGGGAGCTGACGCCAGCGGTGGAGCCAGTCGGCTGGTTGAGGGACGGGTATTGAACTATATGCTGACGGGAGACCAAGTGACAATCGCAGACAGACCGGCAGACCGACCAACAGACCGGTCGACTTAACTCAGAGGGCATCTGTGATTACTGCCACTGGTGAGGCTACTTTGGGGCGCATTAACAGGAGACGTGTTTTTATGTTGGCTGTGTTCGTCCTTGTATCCTTAATTGTTACAACCCATTGTTCCTCGGTTAGGTCCGTCATAATTTTCCTCAATGCGTGCATTAAACAACGTCGCTCGAAATACCCGCGCTGATGTGTCACTTTCTGCGTAGTTATTTGAAGGCTGAAACTGAAATTCATGACATATTCTGACAGTTGGATTTGGCGACATTGCGGTGTGAAAATTCCACTTCTTTTCTACTTCGCCACCCGGCACTCCTCAATTTCAATCTGCCCGTTTGGGCGGCTCGGCCTTCCTTCTGTCGCCGACCGAGTGTTTCCGGTCCGCTGATATACGGACCTCATATTTCACGGCCGGTGTATTTAATATCAATTACTCGGAGGCCGGCCCATTCGACCCCCCCCAGTCCGTGTTCCTGGCGCGGTGCTATCCATTTTAGTCGCCCGGTTGGAGAGGGGGGCTGGGAGGGAGGGAGGCACGGGGAAGGGTTTGTGAGGTGTGTGAGAGGCGAGGCGGTCGACTCACAGGATATCCTACTGGGTGTTCACTGTCTACCACATTATGTCGCTGGCTTTGGACAGTATCTGATATGCGGGGTGACTACAGTGGGTAATGTCACCGTGTTATGTCAGGACCCACACCGGCGCCAGTGCGCATTGCAGAGGCATACACCGCTCTAAAGCTGATTGCATGTTGTGATAAGATGCGTGTACCCCGTGACTAACGTGTGTTGCGATGCATGTCTGTGGGTAGGAGCAGGTGCTGATGATGTAACGTAGCTGGTTTATGTGATGATGTAGTATATGACGACTGCTGTTACCATGCACAGATAATGTGTGATGTGTTACAGTTTAGTTTGCATTCGTGTGTTGTGGCACTTTTTAGGTGTGCATTAACCCCTAAACTGTATGCCATCTTCCAAGTTTCCTAGGCTGATATTGATACTGGAATAGTTGATGTTGATTGTGTGCACTGTTCTGACTTTTGGTGCATTATGTACCGAATGAGTCACGATGTGCTGCGTGACCCACGTTGCACCTTTGACGTTACCTGACCTTAGACGACTGTGTTAACGACGACTGCCGTTATCCGCCAGGTACCGTGTACCGCAGCGGGAGATGGATAGACGGAACGGCGACCGGACGGCGCCGCTGCGCACCCCCACCATGGCTGGAGGACTCTTCTCCATCGACCGGGTACGTGCTCGAAACCCGCTCCCCTCTCTCCCACCCCTGTCCAGCTGTAGTACTATACCTTGGTCTATTGTCTCATCATCAACTGGGCTTGTGCACATGACTCCCGCTTCTGTCCTTTTGGGGTTCCTTCCATTTCCATGATCATATAATTTCGTCTGATTCTTCCCCGTCTTCTGTTGCCTGCTTCCTTTCATCGACCGGCTACTTGTGTTTTTCTCTCGTCCCCCGTCCCTCTTCAGTGCCAGGTCCTGGGACCTAAAGAGTCCTTCAGAAGGCTCAATGGTACTTGTACGCACCTGTTCCTGCGGACGGTAATCACCCGCTTCCCGGTATTAGGTGGTCGTTGAGTATGGTGTGAGTGTACTTCGCTCTGCTTGGAACACTTGCTTGATTTTTTAGTATTCCGATAATTCCAAGAGAGAGTGCCTTTCTCTTCAGTGCAGTCTTTGAAGTTCAGTTTGCATTCAGACATGTGAAGTGCACTTGAAGTAAAACGATAGCAACATTTCCCTGAAATGTAACACTCGGCTCTCGCCGAGGCTCGACGGCACTTAGCACTGGCACAAGGCTCGACGGCACTTAGCACTGGCACAAGGCTGCGGGTTAAAGGGTTGCATAACTCAAAAGCATTAGATTAAGCGACGTCTGATGCGTACCCGCAACTGACTATGCAATATATCGAAGCGCTATCGAACCGAGCCGCTGCGACTGGTCATTTTACTCGTCTGCGATGTCGGTGGTGCGACCTGTCGTGTCAGTAACGGTAACGCCGAGTTCCATTTAACCCTGCCCTGCCAGCTCGGTAGCACACAGCTGCTGCTGCTGGCTGTCCATCACCCCCCCCCCCCCCCGAGGGGGCTGGCTGGCAGCGGCCCGCGACAAGGACCCACCATCGGCAGGATTGGCTCTCTAAATTACACGGTCGGCTCCGCGGCCACTAATGCTAAAAGCCGACCGCCGGCTGCCAATAAGGCGTCCGGATGGACTGAGCCGTGCGGCCGACGCGCCCGACCGTGTGCGCTCAGATTGAACTGACCCCTCAACTGACGGCGGTCTGGGCTGGCCACCGACACTTTATTTGCCGCGGGATGCCGTGGAAGGACGTAGTTATTTGTTCTGCCTCCAGAGTACCAATGACTGAGCATTTAATTGGCCTTCGAGCGTTTGGTTGTTGCGTGGCTATGCGGTTCGTCCTCACAGCGTAGTTAGGGTGCTCGTGCGTCACTGGCTTGCTTTGGTTTTATCGTTGCTTGGTGTCATGGTATGTTCATGACCTACATAACCCTTCAATTGGTTGATAAACTGCGAGTCCTGAGCTAATGGTATTGACAAGGACGCTCAGTTGACGTCACCGACTGGCTCGCTGAGTTGCTCAGCCGACTCTGAACAAAACCTGACGGGTAGTCGGCGAATGGTGGGATCGGATAGATGAATTAACGGAATGGGTTTGTGGGGTGGAATTGGACCAGCGGCGCTTCCTGGGTGGGTGTTGCCAGAAGGGCTTCAAATGTCAACAGATCGACTGTTGTGTCGCTGCCGCTGCACTGCGCCGATACTCAACAACATCCGGTGATAAATGTGTCACCGAAGCCGTCAGTGTATCACAGACTGGCACATAAAGCCGTCGGTGCATTAGCGAGATTGTCTCATAGAGTAATCAGCGTTTTCATTACGGTCATCTTACGCATTTTTCAATCCCTCACCGAGACTATCTCATGAAACCCCTTCAGTGTCTCATTCAAGCCGTCCCATACACACCACTGTTCCACCTAGTCACGATTATTTCACGGTGTCTTTCTCATTCAGTCTGCAGTGTCTCATTGACGTCCCTCCTCTGCCTACAGGACTACTTCTACGAAGTGGGCGCTTATGACGAGGGTATGGACATCTGGGGTGGCGAAAACCTCGAGATGTCATTCCGGGTACGTACCGAATCGTAACACGCTCATTCTCTCACCCCCCCCCCCCCCTAGCGGGCAGTACTCTAGGAGCCAGGAGTGAAAAGAGCCCACAGAAAACTAGTCTGTACCTGCCACCAGCGTTACCTCAGGCAATTACTGGCCCAAGTTATCTATATCAGATGCCGCGTGACAAGGCATGAGTAACGAACCGGCAGTGTTTAAAAATAGTAACACAGTGCGTCTGGTTCTTATCATGTCGGCAAATGGCTGTAGGCTGGCTGTATGTCGACTAACTATTGTTTTTTACACACCTAAACACAGCTTAATTTGGTTGAACCTATTCTTGGTAAACTAATTCTAGCTTGCGCTACGCTGTATTAATTATTTTGTTGGGCGTAAAATGACGCCAGCAGTCGGCGCGCCCTAAAGCTCCAATAAACAATTATTTTTTGTTTGCGGTGTTGCATTGTCACATTTATTACAAAGATTAAATCAGTATAACTAGGTTATCAAATAATCATGTTGCTCATATGGTAATTACGTGCCATTGTTACAATGATGCGATGTGCACTTGCCGTTGTGTGAGCTGATTGTCACCCCGCTAACTTTGCAACCCCGTCCGTTATAGCTTAGTGTGCTTGTGACGCCCTATACGGTACCCCTGCGTACCCAGTCAGTTTGAATGGAATGCTTTTATCAGCCGCCACTTCGTTGTTCTGTCTTGTCAGTGCTTCCCACTGTTGTTTTCGCTTCCACTGCTATTTCTACCGAGTTAGGCCGGCGTCCCGTCCTCTTCCTGTCGCGTTCTTTCGGCTCCTGTACTTGACCCCTGAAACCCTGGCCACTGATAATAGCTCTGACCCCGGACCTGACCCGCTCGGCCTCGCTAGCCTCAAATTGCCGAGTGCTGACCACAGACGCTCCAGCCTTTCACTTTCGATACCCGTTTCTCGTGAATATATCTCATAGTAACGTCATGGCATCAAATCGCCTGGTTGCACCTTAAGATCTTTTGATGAGATCGTAGTGCCAGCGCCAACTTTTCGACCAGAATATTCATGTTCAAATTGCTACAGTTTCTAACTCGCCGGATGGACTTCATTGCATTCATAATTCAAGATTACCCCAGGGCACCTCCGGGTGTATAGTGCATACCTCAACCTTGGGCTTCTATCGATCCCACTGCAAGCGGGCATGGCTTCGTGTTCTTCCGATATCACCATCACCTGTTCTTGTTTCCTTCTCCTGCTCCCTTCTTCCTTCGCCTTTCCCTGGCCCTGGCCGGCATGCCTGCCGCCCGCTCTGCGCACCTCTCCCTGTTCTGTCCGCTGGGCGCCGTGTCGTGTGCTGTGCTGCATGGTGTGCGCTCTGCCCGTGTGCCGCACCGTCCCTCCCCGAGCCGCGGCGCTGACCGTGCCGCCGGCGCGGCGCGCACCACCCCAGATCTGGCAGTGTGGCGGCCAGCTGGAGATCATTCCGTGCTCGCGTGTCGGACACGTGTTCAGGGACAAGTCGCCCTACTCCTTCCCGGGCGGCATCAGCAACGTCATCGTCAAGAACGCCGTGCGCGTGGCGGAAGTGTGGATGGACAAATGGCGAGACTTCTATTATGAGATGAATCCAGGTACTGCTGCAGTGAGAGCGCCGCGGGTGCCGCGGGTGCCGCGCCCAGTGTAGTGCTCGATAGATGGGCGGGATGGGCTAATGACGGCGGTGGTTACTAAAGAGGACAGGGAACTAACCAACACAGGTGGATTGGAGACAGGTAAGTGAGCATGCTGCTTTGGTGTTCCCAGCTGCCTGCATGCTTGCCTGCTTGCTGTTTATGAGCGCTTTCTTGCATGCCTCTATCCTAACTTTGACTGCAGCAGCTGCTACGTTATGCTGGCTAGCTGTTAACCTTCGCCAGCCGTCTGGCCTGCTAGCAGCTATCCGTAGTGACTACTCTAGGGATAGTCGGTGGGCGGGCGGTGTAACCTCCGCCCCACTAACCGGCCGTCGACGGGCAGGTGTGGATGTGCGGCGGCACGCTGGAGATCGCGCCCTGCTCGCACGTGGGCCACATCTTCCGCAAGTCGACGCCGTACTCGTTTCCTGGCGGCACGTCGCGTATCGTCAACCACAACAACGCCCGGCTAGCCGAGGTGTGGCTGGACGACTGGAAGGAGTTTTATTTTTCCATTAACCCAGGTGTGAGACTCGGCGGGTCGTGAGACGGCGGCGGCGGCAGCGGCGGCGGCGCGACGGCTGGAGGCGCTGCCGATCGTGTGTTGGATACACGTGAGGCAGCTCTGCGTAGTTGAGAGTTGAGATAACTCTGAGCAGAGGCGGAAGGCGTGGTCAAGTCGGAATATTAGCATGAAGTTCCGGCCGCCGCGCCGCGCCGCTGCCGCCGTTCGCTGTGCTCTCTGTAGCAGGGCTGCTGGTCAGTCATAAAGTAATTGAAAATCTGTTTTTGCTTGCGTACCTACCGGTTTGTCTCATGAAGCCACAAAATGTTTTCGATTTGGTTTATTTGTTCCTGCTGTGACCAGTAGACTCTGCTGAAGAGATGGTTGCTAGCATTAACATGGTGATGGCAGTGGTGACTTCCAGAACGAAATATGACTCTGGTCAGAGACGGTCATAGTCTGAAGTGTGTGATGACTACTAACAAGTTAGTGCAACAAGCCTGAGTAGCGGCTATGCGAAGCTAAGATTACTAATATTTCACTGAGAACGCCTAATATTTGCTTGTGCTGGCTGGCATTGGCGCATAATAACCACTAACGTATTGTCAGTTCCATACCAGTGGAGCGAAAATGCAACTTTGTTTGGTTGGTATGCGAAACAGCAAAGGCATTTCTATACCTACTGTTGTTTCTGTGGGTGGTGACATTTCTGGTAAGTGCGGGTAATAATGGACAAAGTATTCAGGCATTTTGAGATGCATTATTCACTGCTGCAGTTCTATGTACAATGTACATAGTTGATAGTTCTCCAGTTATACAGTCCTTCTCATGAACGTTATGTTGTATAATTTTGTACATTATAAATGATACATTCTGGAAAAGTAGCTTATCTGTGCATCCTCATTTTGCACTAGTACTTTCATGTTTCACCTATTTTTATAGCAGGTCATATAGTGCAGAGCAGGCTGGTCTTCTTAAATGGAGTCCGACTTTTACCTCCTACGCCCGACTATTTTGGATACTTTGTAGATCGCCATGTCCGCAAGGTCTGGTCGACCTTTCTATCTGACCGGTCGTCTTATCTGACCATCTGTCCCATCTCATCAACGTTTCTATCTAACCGACCGTCCCCATCTCAGGCGCGCGCAATGTAGAAATGGGCGACGTCAGTGACCGCCAGGAGCTGCGAAATCGACTGCAGTGCAAGTCCTTCCGCTGGTATCTGGAAAACGTCTACCCCGAGTCGCAAATGCCGCTCGACTATTACTACCTGGGAGAGGTGAGTTGTCCGTCAGCTGCCGGTCCTAACTAACCAGTGTGAATCACGGTTTAACTGGGCTTCGGCCACTCCTTGTGAACGTCTCTTTAGCCGAGTTCCTACAACTTTGTGTAAAGTGTGAACCTTGTGATCCATGCCTTGGGTGTGGGGTGGCCACTCCGTGTGAACCACGCCTTACCCGAGTTCCTGCTCCTTCGTGTGAAGTGTGAGCTGCTTAAACCCTATTTTAGCTGGGATTCCGTCGTTCCGTGGAAAGTGTAAACTGTGTTACCCCTGCTCTAGCTGGGTTCCTACCGCTCCGTGTGAACCCTGCTTTAGCCAGGGACTTTACAGTTGCTTTACAGTGCAGATTCATAGTGCCATATTCCCGCTACTCGATGTTGTCGCTGAGACGTGCCCTCTGGCTTCCGCCTTGTTTATCCGGCAGCACGTTTGTTCGTCTCCAACTTGGAGTCGGCATAAATAGCATCGCGTTTGTTTAAATTACCTGCCGTGGGGACCGCCCGCTACTTCTCAGTAGAATGATTGTGTGCTTATGTTCATTTCGTTGTTTGTGTAGCCGACGCGAGGACTAACTGCTCGTAAAGCTATTTAGTTATCGCTAACTCAATAAGGCAAAGTCTAGCTCAAAGTTGTTAAATTAATGCAGCGTAAGGTAATGGTTAGATAGCAGTTTCTGTTTGGAGGAGGCCGAAAGTGGCGTTGGCTCAGCGGGCCTATTCGACCCAATTCGTCCCTTTAATGCCGGAGTATATTTTCCTTGATCGTATTGTTTTTTTTTTGTCCCCGACACTTGCATTGATATCCTTATACGCTGCCAATCGTTGGAGGTGAGCTATGGCTAGTTTGAGCATAATTATGAATATTATGATGGTAGAAAATGACCTTATGCTCATGATACAATGAAATGATATTAAAATAAGTCCAAAAAGTATTATGATATATTTCGACTTGCGTCGTCTTCAGAATGTGAAGACGACGCAAATGTGAAGACTTCAGAATGTGAAGAATGTGAAGACTTCAGAATGTGAAGACGACGTCGTCTTCATTCTGAAGACGACGCAAGTCGAAATATATCATAATACTTTTTGGACTTATTTTAATATCATTTCATTGTATCATGAGCATAAGGTCATTTTCTACCATCATAATACGCTGCCAATCTATGTATAACACCGTCAGTGGTGTTGTTTGCCACCATTGCTGTGTGTAAGCCATTTGTATTGTTTGCCATCTATTGACCAATGTTTGTTCTTCGTCGATGGTTTGTCATTCGCCAGTGTTGCACCTCTGTCACCGAGCTATTGGCCATCATATCAGACATTCAGTGCGTGCGCTCGGTGGCGACACCTTTCCCCGACCTCGCCTACTACCACTGTTTACCTCGTATTGAGCCTGCTGTACCAGTGTGTGACTGTGGCGCCGCCTCTCGGACAGATTCGTAACGTGGACACACAACAGTGTCTGGACACAATGGGCAGGAAGGGCGGCGAGCCAGTCGGAGCCGGCTTCTGCCACGGCCTCGGCGGCAACCAGGTGAGCCGGGGTAGCCCTCCGTCACCCTAACTCCCAGTCTCTGATGCTCCGTCCCAATGAACACGCCAACACCGGTGAGACGGCTGGTAGAGAACAGTACAGGAGCGGAGTGGCTGGGGTGGTAGACAGGCAGCTGTCGTGAGGGCTGTTTGGGTCATTGTCAGGTCAGGTGCACAGTCAGTGTGTTTTTTTTTTCAGACACAATTTGAACTGCTGAAATGGTTGATGTTTTGTTTCAGATCAATAATGTGGAGGGCATGGTCGATGGATACCTCCACGAGATTAAAAGGCAGACTTACGAACTTGATGTCGGGCTTCTTTCGTTTGTTGAGCTGTTTTCTCAGTTCAGTTTGTTCGGCTGACAGGACCTTCCTATCAACGCGCTGTTACTGAGTCTGTGTTGCGCCCCTCCGCAGGTGTTTGCCTACACGAAGCGCGGTCAGGTCATGTCGGATGACAACTGCCTGGACGCTGCCTCCGGGGACAGTCCAGTGAAGATGGTCCGCTGCCACGGCATGGGCGGCAACCAGCACTGGAAATACGACAAATCGGTGAGTTAACCACCTGCAAATGTCATACAGCCAGATCGAAGTTTTAGAGAGCAATGTGCAGTGCGAGCGTGCTGCTTTCTTGCACTTTGCGCAGTCGTTCCTGATTTATTTTTATGTAAACTTACAGTAGCCAGTCCCACCACCCACTGTATCGCACCGTAACATGTCTTTTTCTGAAACTTCACTCGTTTCTCTTATCTGGGTAAGCCCTTTCGGTACAGTGAGGCCATTTCAGGTAGTGAGCCAGCAGCTGCTCTGTCGGTCGTCAGCTCCGCTAACTGACGGTTTCCACCCGCAGACGATGGCCATAGTGCACCTGAACTCAGGCAGGTGTCTGCAGCACTCGCGGGCAGACAACGGGCGACTCTCCCTGCAGGACTGCGCCCGCGCCGACTCGGCACAAAAGTGGGTTATGAAGAGCAAGTTCCGGTGGCAGGCTAACTGAGCGCCGCCTGTCGGCCGGACTGCGAACTAGCCGTGTGATAGCGGCGCTAGTGCAATGCCAGCAGGCAGTGACGAAACATTCCACAGTGCGCTGTGCGTGTATTTATTTGAGACTGGTCGGGCCGGCCGGTCGGGCCGCGGCGGACTATGTCGCCGCGGACGGACAGAAGGCGGCCTGCACCGCACATATCCCGCCACTGGTCCTTGTGGTCCGTGTGGACCGCACCTGACTGGTCCGAGTGGTCCCTGTGGTTAATGTGGCGGCCCGGTGCCAAACTGAGAGCTAGCGCGGCCCGAGCGCCGGCTAACAGTGGCCGTTGGCTCGGTAGTGCCATGACGCGGCGGCTGTCGGGGCCGCCGCCGCCCGCACCCCTATCAGACGAGCCGCCATCCCAGCGGTGCACCGTGTGACGGATCAACAGACCGCAGCGTGTGTCCTCATTCCAGAGATTGACGAGACAGTGTTGTATACTCTCACATCAGTATTGTGACGCCCGTTTTCAGACTGACGTTGAGGGTCGAGAGATGTGGGCCTGATACAGGCCGATAGCTGTTCAATGGGGGAGTTTGGGGTACCTACGTTTTCAGTGGTCTGATGGTTGGGCCGGGGCTAGGCTGGTGTGCTCGGTGAAATTGTTTTTATTGGCATTCCACGTACTTATATCGTCTCAGCGATCTGCCCTCTGTCCTGTGGTAAATTTCACAAGTGCCTGGCTGTGTTGTATGACAAATACAATTTCTTTGCGAACTGTTTCTTCTTTCAGTCTTAACGTATCAATCTGTCTCGTGCTCACCAAAGGAGATTGTTAATCGTAAATATGCTACAAACTGACATTCGCCTGCCATGAATACGCTGATAGTGACAGCGACTCTACCAAGTACCTGTCATTTAGCAAATTCGGCATTCGTTTAGGCACTATTCAGATCAAGCAAAATGCTGCTCATGTGGGCTCAACCCAACGCTCAACCTAGCCTAACCTAAATGGAAGTCGCTAGGTGCTTGGAAAGTTGTACCGGCGCACGTTATGCGCTGTGAAGAAACGTGTACCATGATGAGACTTTCGAAGTTCCGATTATAAGATGATTGCAGTGGACATGTCTCGTGGCTCATGCCTTTCCCATGTTTTATTCTTATTAGTTTGCAAGTTATTGCGTGCTGTTGAAGAAAATTGTCTGTGTACGGCACACAGCGTCACTACGTACCACGCAGCGTACGTGGTCCCGTATTCGCACAAAGCACAGCACTCTGCCGAAAAAGCAACTACCACCTCATTTCTTCTTCTTGGCGTCTTTCTTTGCCTTCTTGGCTGCCTTTTTGGCCTTTTTGAGTTTCTTTTTGAACTTTTTGCGCTCGGCGTATCCCTTCCAGTAGGCCTGGATGACGGTGGCGGCGTGCACCCTGCGCGCCTCCTCCTGGAGTCGCTCCTCCTCCTCTCGGAGCTCCTCGTCGTCCTCCTCGATGACGCGCGTGTACTCGGCGAACCGGTCCTTCACCTCGCACAGCGCCTGGAAGTTTTGCTGCACCGCGGGGAGAGAGGGTCGGTGAGAGGACGGCTTTTAGACCAGGATAAAACGCAACGATTCTTCATTATTGCTGCAGGGGTAGTTAAACACAGACTTTGATTGGTGCTTGAAACTGCTCAAAAAGTGAAGGGCTTAGCTTAAACAAAAGGATTTGAAAATGAACCCCTCCCAATTCCCATTATGTAGACTTCTGGTGGTTCGGTCCCATCCGACGGTGTAAAGCCCACCTGCTTCTGGTATTTGAGGTTGCTCAGCTCGCGTTCCTTAGCGTCCGTGTCCACGTCGAACTTGGTCAACCTCTGATCCAGAGTTTCGTTCAGCTCCTGGCAAAACAAGTGTCGGATGTCTCAGTGCCTTCAAACGTGACTTTGCGTGGCATTTGATAGCTATCCAGCAATGCCTTGTAAATGTTGCCTACATCAGTTACTATTTTCAATTTTGTACGCAGCTCGCCAACTCACTGGAACGAAACTACCGTTCTACTTCGACCAACTCACAGAGCCACCTCTCCCCAACTCACATCGAGCGAGTCCCTGAGCTGGCTCTCGATCTCGGTGTTGACCCGGGTCTCGTAGTCGCACATGACGCGGGCGTGCTCGGCCTCCTGTCGTTTGGCCATCCGTCGTGTCTCCAGCTGCCCGTCTGAGGTGACCAGGCGCGCCTGCATGGAGGCCTGCGTGTAGCGCATCTCCATCCCGGTTCGGGCCAGCACCTCCTGCAGCTCGTCCTGTGAGAAAGGAGACGGTTCAGGGAGTCGAACGGAGACAGGGAGGAGACTGGGACCTTTCAAGCATCGAGCTATGACCATGTTCCTTGTTTGTAGTGCGTGGAAGCCATCCTAGATCACGGCATAGGACGTCAATTTGTCAAAGGGTGCGTGAGGTCATGCAAGTGTTGTTAACTGCTAACAGCATGCTTTTGGTGTGCTGCGGTTATGCATGTTTGCATAAGGCTTACCTTTAGTTCCAAAATGGTCTCGTCGCGGTCTCTGATCTCTTCCACCATTGAGACTTTTAGCTGGCGGATTTCCTTTCTCAGCTCAGCAATGCGCTGCGAATTCGCAATGGCATCCTCCTGCGAAGCAAAATGCAGTGAAGGTAAAGCTGTTGAGAATGTGGATGGCCTCTGAAGGAAATCCATCAACCAGGGGAATGGAGACGGCCGTAACGCGTTGATCGGCCCAAGTATTTATGTATTCAAAATGTTCATAATCAATTAAATGCACCTGACCGCACAGAATCATGACATTGGGCACTGGGCTGACCTGCAATTAACCAAACATATGGCGTTTAGCCATTTCCGGTAACTGCAGACAACGCTAACCTTCATTGGACACCGAACTGAACTGACGCACCTCGATCAGGACAAACTCCTGCCGCCGGATGCCCTCGGCTTCCACGGCCTCAATGAGAGGAACGTACGAGTTCTCCCTGCGCAGCTCCTTCATTAGACGGTCCAGCACCTGTGAAAACAGCCGGCGGGAGGGAGGGGAAGGCGTGAGGGAAGAAGGAAGGAGGAGAAGAGAGAGGGGAGAGAGAGAGGGAGAGAGAGAGAGAGAGAGAGAGAGAGAGAGAGAGAGAGAGAGAGAGAGAGAGAGAGAGAGAGAGAGAGAGAGAGCGAGAGAAAGAGAGTTCTCATTTATCTTTTGTTTAACTTTGGAAACTGAAAATAATGTTGGCAAATAACTAAATAAACTACATTTATAGCTGTATCCTAGGCGACGCTGCCAGCCAGAACTCGACTCGGCTGAGCGATTCGAGTTTGTATGTTAGTTCTGTTCGGTAACTGAGCTCGGAAAGGTTACGAGAGCCACAGAATCAAGTGATATTGCAAACTCTGAGATAGTGTTCCAATAGAGTCCTCGATTTCATTTGATTCCATGACAAACTGGCGCACGGTGATACCCTAGCATTGTTTCCTCGCGTATTCATGAGGTCACGTGCTTCCCGTTACCTTGCTGAGGTAGGCCCGGTCCTGTTGTATCTTCACCAGACTGGGGTTAGCCGGCACGATGTGATCACCTCGATTGCTGCGGATTTTCAGCGGCTCATCCTCCTCCCGACGGAACCTGACCGAATTCACGTCATAAGCGACCGCGTCACACAGGGCATTACACTAAATACACAGCTCGCAGCGCCCGCCTGACGATATTCCTGTCCATATATCAATATGGCGCCAGTAGTGAACGCCTGCGGGGTATGCTGTACCGCATGACAAGGCCGATTCCGCCCGGCCCGACTGGAATAACGATATTCCTGTCCATAGATGGCGACAGTGGTGAACGCCTACGGAGTATGCTGCACCGCATGACTCAATACGATCCGCACTCCGCAGCGCCCGGCTGACGATATTCCTATTCATAGATGGCGCTGGTAGTGAACGCCTGTGGGGTATGCTGTACCGCATGACAAGGCCGATCCCGCTCGCCCGGACGCACCGTAATTCAGGTGTGGACCTTGCAATAGCCAATATTCTGTTGATAATGAGGCAAATGAGAATAGTTTGAGCGTCAATTGCTACCTTTCGTCAGACTATAAAAGGCCAGTTTATTCATAATAATCAGCTAGGCTAACATTTTAAAACAAGAGTTCTTGGAACTCATCTTTGTGATTGATTTACCCAGGTAATAGTGCCTAGGCAAATTACCTTTGTCGCAACGTCTCCTTTTCATCGACGTAGTCTTTGATGTAAGGCGCGGCGATTATCTTTCCCAGCACCTCGAGCTGCTGGTTGTACTCGTCCAGAAGGGCATAAACCACCTACAAGAGCAGATATAGGTGATCAGATGGGCTTTTGAAATAATTACTCTGGAAAGACATTAATATGCCTATTAATGTGTCCATTACGACACTTAACGGCCATATTATTCGGTTTGATCGATTATCAGAAGCATAAACCGGCGTACTCGAGCTCTTGTAAATAGCAGGACTCTATAGATACCATGGTCACTTTGAGTCTGTTCGGCTCGCCGTTGTCCCATTTAGCGTGTAACAGGCCCGCCTACCTGTGCGTCCACCTCGGAGAGCAGACTGTTGGCCAGCAGGTACTTGTCGCCCGTCTGATCCCAGTCGTTACCCGTCAGAGCGGGCTCCTGAGTCCTGCTCTGAGCGCTGTCCATCTGTCGAGTGCGCGACATCGAAGGACGTCAAGTGAGGTCAGTTGTGAGACGACGCTACGGATTGGCTCAATGCGCATCTATACTTGGTGAGGGTTCTTGGAACAGCGAAAACTGCCCTTGGGATTGACCCTGGCCACACTCAACTCGAAGGAGATACATGTCGGTTTTTATTGCCTTATTGCATTTTCTTGCTTTCTAATATTCCAGAGAGAGAGCCCGCAATTATGGGATTTTTACACTAGTGGAATCTCAGCCAGAATTTTTGATGAACGTTAACTTTAATCAACGCTGCCCGTTATTCTTATAGCTGAGAGATGAGCTTTCATAGCAAAGTACGATAAGACCTTACACAAACATTTTAGAGCGAATTCAAAGTTTTCCTGCAGCATAAGGCATTAAAAAAGAGAACAATTGTTGACGATAAGTATTGGTCTCACCTCGCGTTCTGATGGTTTGTCAGCGACGGACTCCGGGGCCGCCAGGGAGCCCGCCAGAGATGCTGTAGAGATGCCATCTCCCTTTCCAGGGACCGTAATATTGGGAATGGAAGACAAACCATTTGTGGTCTGCTCATCCTGCGCAGGGTTACCATCTTCATCCTCGTCAGGCTCAATGGTAACAGATGAATGATGTGAATAGGACTGACGAGATTCTTCACTCAACCCCATCACGTGCGAGCTTCCATCGAGGCTCTCGTTGTCTTCAGACGCATTGTCAGCAAGCGAAGACGCGATGCTCGCACGGCTTTGGGCAGGTGAAGAGTTGTCTTCCTCCATTGTCACTTCGTATCTAAGAGATCACGTTAAAGCTGTTACAGCTTTTCATAATCATCATATGCACCATTCAATACTTTTGCTACACTATCACGTATCATGGCACAGCATGGATGCTACCACTGCGAATGATGCTACGCTGAACCAGCACTGACAAGCGAGGAGCAGTCAAATGCGGTTCACCCATTATCGATTATACAACGTCCAGCCGTCCAGCTGTACCCAGGCTGTTTCGTGGGGACTGATGGCGCGCCAAGCCGAACAACCAATGGCAATAGTACACAGACTCGCGGCTTGTGGCGCTTGACGGCAAAATGAGTAGAGCTGTTGCCATGGTAACAAATATCTCTTAATGCTTCCACCAGTCAGCACTTTTTATTGTCTTTTTTTCAATCAAACACCCCTACCCAGCCAGCTAAGAATGCAAAAATCGTCATTTTAATTCGACATCGGTGCGGGAAGTCTGCCTTGAGCTCCTATAACCTTATAAAATCAAACGCTGCACTGCAACACAGCCAATTCCTTCGCTGCATCTTCCCCATCATAGAAAAAGGGTAAAACAAATGGTACTCAGCAGGCAACATTCATACGGCTCGTCATGACCCGGTCATCCGAAAGACAACTAACGATGCGTCGGTGTATATTGTGAAGTGAGGATAAATTCACATGCAACAATCGCAACGTTATCCATCTATTTGTCAAAGACACGTTGATGAATATCGATTCATATAAAGAATGGGTAATTATCGTTTCAAAACATGATTTAAACATTTAATCAACACGCAACATACATATTACAAAAAGCAATAACTTAACATGAACATGACGGGTATATGCGTTGCCAGGGCATCAGGCCGCCAGATCACCTAGTTAAATAGCAAACTCTCCTGAGTCAAAGTCTACTCAATATTCACTCTGGTGATCTGTTGCTTAGCCGCTGACTTCAATGCTCGCACGTGTAGCATGAAAGACGGGAGTCTTCAAGTCCCTCTGCTGTCTCCTTCTGGAGCCAAGTATGATATGTCTGTACAAATAAGTACACAATAAAGGCGAGGGCATGCACACATGTGACGAGAGACTGTCGCCGGCGACAGTGCAGGGAAGGTGGGGACGAATACTCATGGAATCACGGTGAGGTGACAGTTATGCTATCGGAGTCAACCATTCCACAAATCTCGCAACATTGGCGGCACTACAGGTGTGAGACAAGGGTCAGCAACTTCACTTATAATGGACCATAGACCTCTGTATACAGAGGTATACAGAGGTCTATGAACGGACAAAACTGACAACATACCGCACATAGGGTTCACAAAATGGTTGCATCTTCACTCGTAAGTTATGTTGCAATGCCAAAAATATGCCTTCAAGATAACTTCACAGTCTGCTGGTGAATAATGCCGTCGATGTAAGTTGCTTATGTTTGCTGTTATTAGAAGTGGTTAAATATTAAATATAGAACAATTATCAAGCACAAACTGAAACATGTCTACAGTGGCTGGTATCATCTACAATATTTACGAGTATACTTGTCGATGCATAAAGCAAAGGCATTAAATGGGACGCAGGGCCCACTTTCACACATAGGGGTATACAGTGTGCAGCTGTAGCTGAAACAGTGGTACATTGAGCTCCGACGGACGAGGGCTGACGCCACGGTAGGTGACTATTCTGTGCACAGATGAGTCGATGTTCACAATATACTCACACACAATGCTCGCGGAATGTTTCACATTTCATCTGCATAGTTCTTTGAGTCGTTCGGCACCCATCAAGCTAGGTGTCATATGTTCGTTTTCAGCACTGTTGAGTCAGAGTTTTACACTCACTGTCAACATGGAGCAATAATGAGCTCAAATGCACCAGGTACTGTTCACACGCGCTGTGATTCGGCGGAGGTTGCCTGTGAAGTCAGGGCCGTGCGCTGCCCTCTACCGGTCGTATCTAGGACTACTGCTTACAACTACAAGCGGGCCGACTGGGAGGGCCTGCGCACAGTGCTGCGACTCACGCCGTGGAACATGCTGGACGGGCTGCCAGTGGATGACGCCACCGCCGTATTCTACGATCTGCTGAACGCGGCGATTCAAGATCACGTCCCAGTCGTCCAGATCAGGCGCAGGCAACCACCATGGTTCGACGTGGAGATTCGGAGGGCACTCAAGGAGAAGGAGTCTGCTCACCGGCGGTTGAAGAGGGACCAGACTGCAGAGAATCAAGCAACATTTAGGGAAAAACGTAGAGAGTTCAAACACATAGCAAGCGTGAAATTCTACTCATATCTAAAAGGCCTGGTAGGTGACCTGAAAACAAATCCGAAACGCTTTTGGACTTTTATTAAATGTATCAAAGGGAAACACAGTGAAATGTCGCACCTTGTCGATCATGGTCGTAGGATTGTGGATGACCGCGAGAAAGCTGATGTATTGAACCGCATGTTCTCCAGCAAATTCTCTGATCCCGCTGTTGCCGTGCTGCCGTCGGCTCCGGATCACGCGCTTGACCCACTGTGCTCATTCTATGTCTCGGAGGAACTTGTCCGTGGAATCCTTTGTAGCATCAATCAGCACAAAGCGTGTGGACCGGACAATGTAAGCGCGCGTATTATTAGCGAATGTGCCGTTGAGCTGACGGTCCCTGTAACCAAGCTGTGCCGGTTGTCGCTGGAACAAGGTGTGTTCCCAGCAGCTTGGAAGCGCGGCAACATTGTGGCGATCCACAAAAAGGGTTCGAAGGCGTTGCCTTTTAACTACCGGTCCGTGTCACTTTTACCTCTTTTTAGCAAGGTTCTGGAGCGCGTCGTTTTTAACACGCTGTATAAACATGTGAAACCCGTTCTCTCGGAGAAACAGCACGGATTCATGCCTCATCGTTCATGCGTCACCAACTTAGCTACGATGCTGCACGCTGCCTGGAGCAACATCTCTGCTGGCTCTCAGACGGATGTGATTTACACCGATTTTTCCGCGGCCTTCCAAAGCGTTAATCATAAGCTGCTTCTTCACAAACTAAAGCATTCTTTCCATATTTCGGACAAAGCTTTCGATTGGTGTGAATCGTATCTGTCTGGGAGGCGGCAGCGGGTGGTTGTGAAGGGCAAGTGCTCGGAGTGGGCGCCGGTAACGTCGGGAACACCCGAAGGCGGGATTCTCTCACCATCGCTCTTTGCGTGTTTCATTAATGACCTACCGGAGTACGTAGAGGCGAACGCACTCATGTTTGCGGACGACGTGAAGATGTACGGGAAGGTAGACAGCGACGCAGATGTACAGTTCATACAGCGCCAGATCGACTCTTTGTGCCGGTGGTCTGCAAAATGGGGCCTGACGCTCAATGCGGCTAAATGCAAGATGCTCACCCTGACATTGAGGCGTCAGCCGGTCTCCAGCGCCTACACGATAGACGGAGTCGAGCTGGAGCGAGTGAGAGTCATGCGCGATCTTGGCGTGCTCATAGATGAGAAGCTGACGTTCGCTGAACATGTTGACGCCGTGGTGCACCGTGCTAACAGAGCTCTAGGGCTTCTTATTCGAACGTTTCAGACCGGAAAGTGCGGCCATACATTTGACAAGTCAATGAGAAAACCAATCATAGGCACCTTCTGTGCAAACGTGCGCTCTATACTAGAATTTTGCAGCGTGATTTGGGGAGGCGCAGCCGAAACTCACATGAAGAGGATAGAGCGCATCCAACACAAATTCCTCATTTGGCTCTGCGCACGGTGCCGTGTCACAGATACAGCGCTCGAGTACAACGACTTGATCCAGTTTTTCGGCATGAGCACGCTGGCAGCAAGGCGCGAGCAGCACGATGCAATGTTCATTCGTAACATTCACCGCCACGCCATCGACTCCCCGTTTCTTCTGGCTCAATTCCCTTTGGCTGCTCCCACTCGGCTGCTTCGCAACTGGAGCACTTTTCACGTGTCTTACGCTAGGGTGAACACCGTCAAAAACAGCCTGTTCAATCGCATACCGATGCTCAGCAATATGTTTCTGGACGCAAACCGTGACGTCGATGTGTGGCAACATAGCCAGCTACAGTATAAGAAACGAGTAGCAGCGTATGTCCGCTCGAGGCAGCCCTGTGCACATTAGATAGAACGGGGAGATGTGAACTGCAGCTTTTTCTCATACTTTTAACGAACCTAGGTCTGCTTGATATTTTCCATCCGTGTATGTGTGTGTATGTGTGCGTGTGTGTGTGTAATATGTAGGTATATGGGACTACGTCCATCAATGGGTGCCCATGCCCGTGGATGTTTTGAAAAATAAATAAAATAAATAAAATAAAGGTTTATACAGGGACCAGCCCGAGCTCAGTTCCCCTAAGCGCTTTCAGGCGCGGGAGCGGGAATGCGGAGCGAGTGAATGCTGTATCAATGGCGGCCGAGTGCCCGCATTCGCAGGTCCATACATTCATCTCGCAGATCGGCGATATCCCAGTGTTTTACGCAATGCGGCCGTGTCCGTACTCGCAAGGTTCGACGGCCCTTCAGCGTCCATACCCACACGACTCAGCGTCCCCTCAGTGTCCATACTCGCAGGGGTCGCTGCACGAGTGTGTGAGGGTGCGCCCGCTGGCGGAGAGCAGTGCCGTCCGCTCGTCGGGCTCCTCCTGGCCGGGCTCCTCGGAGCTGGTGCTACCGCCGACCACCAGGGGGCGCGGTTTGCGCAGTCGGCGCAGTGAGCGGAGCTGGGTGGCCAGCACGCGGAACCGCGAGGCGCGCCGACCGGCCAGGCCACCGGCCGCGCACTCGGACGTTCCCTGGCGGTTATAGGTAGATATCAGATATCGGTGACGTTGGCATAACTGATAAGATAAAATAAATGAAACGTTTTACAGAATTATTTGACGATAAACTTGACATACTTGACATACTTCGACTATAAACTATAATTTGACTATTATAGCCGTCTTTACCTATTGCTATTCTCCTAAGCATTGGTTCCTGATGGACAGCTTAGCATTTTCAAAGCTCGCGTGACATTCCGGAAACTGAACGTACCTTAACGGCACAGCTAACGTATTATTGATCGGCTATTACTGCTAAACTTGTTCCGAAATGACAGCAGTTTCGCAGACAAGCCTTAGCTGGACGTAAATGTTAAAGCCATGCGTAACTATTGCGTATTGAGCTTTGCTGGATTACTAGGGCACATACCCTGTTTCTATTCGGCGTTCCACGTAGCCTAGAAAAGAATGTGGGTATCCCAAAGTCACTTGCCTGGTCGTCGGAAGTGTCGAGCGATCCTTGTCTCCTGATCCTGCGCCGGTGTCTCCTGCTGCTACTGACGCTCCTGGCACTGCTCACCTCGCTGTCAGACGACTCCTGATACAGCTCCTGGCAGTCCCCAACGGGAGCCGACCTAGGAGCAGGAAACGATACCGTAAGATGCCTTCCTGATATTCATCGATAGAACGGAACTGTGGAGATGTTGATAGAAGACAACGAGTAATATAAATATCCCGGAACAAGTGCATTTCCAACTCCGCAACTGATGGTTAGGCTGTCCCGCATTGCACGACTGCCATGCCGTATCGCATCAGTCAATATTGGAGCTTACCATTCCTGACGCCACTAAACGCAACATAAGTCATTTCTGCTGGCTGAATTTGACCAAAAAAAAAACGAAGTAACACGTTTACACAAAGTTACTAGAGCTGTGTTTCCATAAGAATAACAACCGTGTGCTAGCTCAGCCATCCCCACAGCTCAACACTCAGGCGCATACTTACAGCAGAAGTCCAGGTTTCAGCTCCACTAATAGCCTGAGTAACTAGCAAGGAAGTCGCCGCGGCGTCTCAAATCGAGCCCTCATTACTGGCTGGCTGAGAAAGCTAACGACCTCCTCTGACGGAGCTACTGCAGAGCGCCGGTAGATGATGATCGATGTCTCTTCATCTTCTCAATTCAGACCAGCGAGCGGAGTGGGTTAGGAAGCGGAGGACTGTATCAGTCAGGCTTAATCCCATTTTAGTCGAACCGCTGATAGCCAACCAATAATGGATCTCTATAATCTCACATTTCTAATGGATATTGGATATTATATTACAATACTTATGCACTAACTTTACCCATGGAACAAACAACACGGTTGGGCTCTAAATAAGAAAATAGCTTTCCTATGCGGAATGATCGCGGTTATCACAAGCACACTGAGCACAATGCAGAGAAGCAGCGCCAAAAACGTTCGGGGTAGGTCATGCATGTCCAGATGTGGCACCCACCTGTCTGGAGGCCGGCTGCACTACTGGCAGTACCAGAGGTCACCACCAGGTGTCAGCAGCGGCGCGCCGCTCCGGGCTCTCCGGGCTGCGGCAGGGACGGTCACTGGCACCTGCGACGGTCGGCTGAACGGGCGGCAAGGCGCGCAAAAGCGGCAGACACATGCAGCAATCCAGCAGAATCGAATAATGCAAATCGCACGGACGGGTGAAGTGGCAAACAGCAGACTGTCAAAAGGCTCAGTGAAAACGGACACACTTGCAGAAATAGTACGCAGCAGTGGAGTGGCACAAGACGTAAAACAAAATTTTTAATTCCAATGCATTGTACGTAAACAAAGGAGAATCGAGTAAAGGGGTAAATGAAATACGTTGCGTAATAGAACGTAGAAACCTAATTTGAAACAGAGTGAAGGTTATTGTAATCATGCTCCTAAGATTAAAAATTAGCTTTGAGCATTGTCGAAACCTCGTACGCCCTTTTCTTCAAAGCAGTCGATCTGACCAAAATTTTTCAACCTTGTTCAGCTTATGTTAAAAAAAATATTTGTTTTAACTTATTTATAACTCACTAATGTGTGTTTGTGACTTTCCAGGAGTTGGAAAAAGGAGCCGTCGAGTTTCGTTATTAACGTGCTTTCCCGAATTTCACGTTAAGAAGTGATACCAGCCTTCATTTATCATGGCCGTAAGATGTGTGCCGCAAATTTCAAAATATGATGCGTAAATGCAAGTAAATTATTCATAGGCGTGAAATAATAATGGAACATACCTATTATCATGTTATTACCATAAAAAGAGTCATGAAGCATGACGCATGTAGTCATGAACCAATTTATGCATCGATATCCGTGCAAGAAAAAGACTCGGGGCACACTCGCATGCGCTCACTCCCTCCCTCTCTCCCCTCCCTCTCTGCTCACCTGGTAACGTCGACGGACTCGTTGGACGAGGTCCATCCGGCCTCCGAGCGCTGCTGTTTGCCCCGCCTCCGGTGGGTCTGCGCCGCCCAGGCCTTCTGGCGGTCGGCAGACGGTGAGCCGGTCCGGTCCGGCGGCACGGTGGGTACACTGCGCCATTTGACGGCACCCCGGCGGCGGCGGCGGCCCGCGCGGCGCTGCGAGCCGCCCGCCACCGCCGCCGTCAGTCGCTCCGAGCTCGGGTAGTCGTACAGACAGTCCGAGTCAGTAGCCGGCAGCTCCAGCTTTCCAAAGAACTGCCGCGAGAACCGGCGCCCGGTGCGGTCGCTGAGCGGTGACTCCGAGCGCGACGAGGCCGGGCTGGGTCGCTGCGGCTCCTCCAGCGAGGAGTCGGACGGCAGCGGCGCCGGGGGGTGGATGACGATCTGGGGTGGCGGCGGCGGCGGCGGCTCGGCCGGTCGCGGCATCTCTGGGTCCGTGGATAGACAGTCGTCGTTACTGCCCAGAGCCGAGTCATCCTCTAGGGTGGCCTGGTGTAGCAGCACGGGCCGGCGCTGTGCCGCTCCGCCCGGTCCACACGCCTCCTCCAGCAGCGGGTTGATGGACGAACAACGCGACGGCGCCGGGCTGTAGGCCGAACTGTAACCCGACGAGCTGAGGTTCGACTCGGAGGTACTGTGTGCGCCGTTCGGAGCGAGCGGCGCCAGCAGCATACCGACCGTCTGTTTAGTACTATCCGTGTCGGAGTCCTGCTCGGACATATTCCTCGTCAGTCGACAGCCGGGCCGCGGCTGGAGCTCCAGAGAGTCGGCCCTGCCGCCCTCCTTCAGACACGGCGCCCGCCGCAGCATGCTGAGCGCGTGAGGGGCACTCAGCTTCCTCTCACCGGGCTGTGGCAGCGGCATCAGTGGGGGAACCTCGTCCGTTGGAGACGCTGCCAGGAAGGTAAAGGACGGCACCGCCATCGGTACCGGATCAGGACTGACGTGAGGCGACGGAGGACTGCCCTCCGGATCGCCGCTGTCCTCCGAGATGACGATGGCTGGAGGTGATGGCCAGGATGGGACGGCAGGCGTCGATGGAGTAGGCGCTGACACGGTGATGGGCGGTGGCGACGGCGGCGGTGCTTCGTCACTCTCCTCTGGAGACGTGTGCGTTGTTTCGATGATCACCATCGGAATGGGGAAGTTGCAGCTGTATTTGCGGTTGAGTGTCGGCGACGGCGTCCGGTTGACACCCTCCGGAGCGTCCAGCGAGGCACTGCTGGTGCGCGACTGTTCGTTACCGGACATTGAGAACGATGTGGACGCGTCAGAGTCCATGTCGGAGACCCGCTGATCCATGTGGATGTGAATTGGTCGACGGGCCATCCGAATCGGCGTCGGCAGAGGCGAGGGGGACGGCGTGGGCACCTCCGTGATCGGTGACAGACACCGGTAGTCGTGGCACGGGATCTCGAGCGTCACAGACTGAGACGAGGATCCGCCGCCAGTCTTCCCGCTGCCTCCCGTGAACACGGGAATCTCCAGACTGTTGGCTGCGCTGATCGCTCCTTTCTCCGTCTGTCCCGAGCCGTTAGCGGAGGGCGGTGACACGCCTACGACGGGCGGGTTCTCGTCGCCGTGATCCGAGTTGGCCGGGCTGGACGGTGTGGATACGGACTTGCCGTTGGCCCAGCCGCGTAGCATGGACAGGATGCTGTCAGCACTGGTGATCTTGGCGATAGGTCTGTGACGCGGTGAGCTCGGTGTCGACAGAGACTGGATGAGTGCCGAGCGCCGCACAGCGTCCGGCGTCAGGTCAGAGCCCGTTGAGGTCGTCTCCACCGTGTCATCGGTTGGCAGGAAGGCCGGCGCCCGGCCGCGGCGCTTGAACGACAGTGAGCGCCTTGACCGACTTCCCAGCAGATTCTGCGGCTTGTAGCTGCTGCTGGCGTCGCCGGCGCAGCTCAGGTCCGACCCGGACGAGGTCATCATGTCACGTGACACGTGTGACATCAGAGATGCAAATTTGACGCGCTTGTCGAACTTGCTGTCCATGATGTCGTGGAAGGATGTTTCGGCGAGGGTCGCCGGGTCGTCCACAGACTGGGAGCCCGACTTACGCTGGTCCTGGGGAAAAGACGGAGCACCTCAAAATAGTTCCACTCAGTTCAGGTATTTGCGAACGGCCTGTTTCAAAGCCTGGCCGCGTTTACTTTGTTCCACTGTTTCTATTTAATCTAAGGCACGCTGCTCGTCGCAATTCAGCAGTTTATACGGCAGTAAAAACAGCACCACAATTCCGTTTGAAGTACGTTCTGAGCGCTTATGAGAAAAAGAAGCTGAAAACAGTGCAACAATGGGGTTGGGAACTCGATTTTTTAAGAATGCATGAAAATGATCAAACTATTTTCACAGAATTTATGGTGCATACCATTGCCTCATAAAATCAATATCCTGAGAGAAATGGGGGAAGAAAGATAGGAAACTTGTTTTGAAAAGTTCTTGAAAAAGATGCTCTTGATGCTGTTACGTCACATGTCACCTTCTGCGGTTGACAAATAATGGCGCATCTGGCGCACCACAGATTACATGTTATATCAATGGGTGAAAGATGTTGTTTGTTTCACTCTGCCATTCGCGCTGTTTTTAACTTTAAATTATGCTAAAACATTTACGGATGAAATGTTCACTGTCAAAAATTGATGTGTCTGCCGTGTACTATATTCCCACTTAACATTGAGCGCGTGATAAACATTTATGTACCTCGAATTTTCAAATGATAAAGATGATGAATCGGAGGATGCTGAAAAGCAAAAGCTCATTCCAATATTTGGACTACTTTACGATTAAAATGTTTACATTCCTGTCATCTTATTGATCATTTATTTGTTCTTTTTTATGAAAATAACTTAAGTCGTTGAGAACCGAGGTAATTTCTATCTACCGTGCCTTAACTTACCAGCAACAGCAATCTATCTACGCCCTACGGTGGCAAGGGAGACTGTGAAAGAAGCGTAAGATGGATTCTAAACAATTCTTTTGTGATATACTGAAGGGCAAAGTGCAGAGAAGAGCGTACAAGTCCTGTTTTGTGCCAGGCTGTTGCAGCAGCACTTATGAAACTCCGAAAACGATCTTCGTTCATGTCCCGAACAACATTACCCTGAGGAGATGATCGTCCGCAATAGCAGGAAGAGCTGATGCAAGTACTTTGAAATCCACTATCAAGTCGGTGCTATTGTTGTAATGATCACTGTGAGGTGAGATATTTTGTGTAAGGGCTGAGTGTAATGCCCAGGAGATGACCTCCATTCGCCCCCTGACCGGTCAGGGTTATAAAATTTGAGTGGATGGCGGTCCGTTTGGGGTTCAGAGGGGTGTTCACGGGCACCGCACACTGCTGCGTGCGCTGTGTGCGGTGCGTCCAGCAGGCGTGGGGGTAGGGGATGGGTAGGCGGCTCTGACGTCACGGCTGCGTGCGGTGGACGGTCCGCTGTGGCCAGTCCCGACCGGCCACAGCGTTCGCTGTGTGCGGTGACGGAAGGCTGACGTAGGGACGCAGTGGGCGGAGCTTGGAGGCTGTGTGCGGTCCGACCGCACACAGGGCCCGTGAACAGCCCTCAGATGTCAATTGTATTTTGTTACTGTCAAACAATACATGTTATGCTGGCAGCGAATGTGTGTAACGTCGGTTTTCGAAACAGAAGTTAGAACTGTAACGGCAGAGTGCTTGCTGGTCTCATCGTAAGTATTGTAAGTGTTGTAGGCAAAAGCATTGTCAATATTGCAAGTATTGTGAGCATTGATGTATGGTAGATATCACCTCACATGATCTCGGCTCAGATAACCCTCTCCGGTGTCCCTGTCAGTAAATGGCACCTGGATCATTACAGATAAGATAATTTGTCATAATTCTTAAAGAATTGGGTGGTTTTGACTCGTTTACTCGAGGTGCAGGTCGCATTTCAATACTTTTCCATAGGCTTGCAATGTAAAGGTCACGACTCTGACCTAGCCTCAGGTCACAGATAAAAAATTCTGAGATATACGAACGACACATACTGCAGGTACTGTTTTGAAGACTTGATGAGAGGAAATAACTTCGTGAAAAACTCAAGCTCTGACGTGTTTGCAAACTTTTCTGAGGTGGGGTTAACAAACCCGCTCTGGTTACCTGACCTGACCTGACCCGGCATTTTTTTTTTTTTCTGAGATGTGCGCAATGAGCATTTAGGAAAAGTCACCAAATATGAGCTGAATATCTCGCGGCGTTTGGCAATTGTACAAGAAAATCCTGAAAGGCCTCCCCGTCCGAAATAGGGTTAATGTGTATATGAAGAGTTGCAGATGCCAAACATACCCAGATCTAAGACTGCACCCAGTAAACATGCCGACGTCGGCCGACGTCGGGGTGACGTCGGCAACTCGGCAACCGCATGCCGACGTCGGCCCGACGTCGGTCCAACCTCGGCACGACGTCGGCTGGATGTCGGATATGCCCGCATGTTCCGACGTCCAGCCGAGGTCCAGCCGACGTTGGGCCGACGTCGGACCGAGATCAATTGCTGAGGTCCAGCCGATGTCGGGCCGACGTCGGGGCGACGTCGGACCGACATCGGCCGCTGTTTTGACCGTTAAAATAATATAAAATACATGTTTCATGTTTCATAAAGAGCTTCTGTATTCAAAATATCCTCAGGAAACTCAAATCTTCCTCCACGCCGCAACCCCCTGATCCGGACTGGACGGGAAACTTTATCCCATTTGGGATTGCCCGTAAGCCGAGCTCGCCCGTAGCCGGGTGCGGTGAGTGCTTGGGGGCTGCTCGGCCTATCCTTTGGTCAGGCTCAGCCCCGGCAACTCACCAGGGCCGGGCCCAGTTCATATAGAAAGGCCAGTCGGCAAGTGTCACTTTGCCAAGGTGCCACTAATCAAAGGGACACTTTGGGAAACGTTGGTGCAGGTGTGTAAGAGTGGCTATATGAATCCATTGTGGGGTCGCCCTTTCCAATAAGTGTCACGTAACAGCAATGGGACCAGGGACTCTATATGAACTGGACCCAGGGTGCTCGCCAAGAAGACCAATGTCTCCATCCTATCATCCTTCCGGCTCTGAAATGGTCTTGTCAGACCGAAAGGGCATAACCCAACAAAACAAACCACATTTGTTAGCTGGCTGCGTGGTGTAGTGGTTAGCTCACTAACCTCGTGTTCGAATGACACGGGGTTCGAATCCCATCGCCGGCTGATGCTTTTGGCGTGTTGTCCCAGTAAACATGCCGACGTCGGCGACTGGGGGGCTCGAATCCCGCCGCCGGTTGATATTTTTGGCGCGTTGTCCCAATAAACATGCCGACGTCGGCCCCGTCGGTCCAACGACAAACGATCTCGTCAACCTCGGCAAACGATCTCGGCCCGACGTCGGCTCGACGTCGGCTGGACTTCGGCTGGACGTCGGAACATGCGGGCATATCCGACGTCCAGCCGATGTCGGGCCGAGGTTGAACCGACGTTGGGCCGACGTCGGGCCGAGCCTCGGCCCGACGTCGGGCCGACGTCGGCATGTTTACTGGGCAGTTCCCAGCGCCGCTGCAACGTTTTTAAAACAAACATACATAGGACATACAAACATGTTTATTTGCATCTGTTTTGGATAATAGCCAATCATGGCGCCATCACCCGCGATAACTGTTAGGATTTGAGATATATTTTTGTTTAGGCCATTAGTTTGGCTGTAATGTTTATTAATATTAGTTGGGCGGAGTTTGGTAGTTTTTTATTTAACTTGTGGTATGTTGTGCTGATTGCGGGTTGTTCAAACCTTTCAAATGTAAGGACCTTATTGAACTCAACCCTACCCCTACACTACCCTATATACGACTGGACGCTTTCCAAAACCCACAAGCATGACGCCGCCGAGGTGGAATGTAGCCGGGAAATCACCCTCGCCATCTGCTCTAGAGCTAATCGTGTGGGGCGGCGTGTGGGGCGCCGCTTAGCCTATGGGGGTGCACTTCTAGTGGATGGGGACGGGGTGCACCTGCACCCCTTTCATATGGAAAGTTACTTCCCTGATTACAGCTCCCCGTATTGCACCTAATCAGGGAACGGCCAGCAAACGGAGGAACTATTTCTGGATGACAGGCGAATAACCGCTCACGCAAGGAGCGGAGCTCCGCCCCGTCCAAACTGGCCAACAAAGCAGAGACAGAGGCAGCATCACATCTTCCATCAAAGAACTGGTTTCTGGTTTGGAAGATGAGCTCCATCTTTGCATCCGAGTCGGTGCTGTCAGGAATCAGCTGGTCTAATGGAGTGAGAGTAGTGAGACGACTAGCTATTGTATCAGTCAGAGCTGCCTGGTCTTCGTAGCATTTGCACCGATTCTTCTCGATCGGACTCTGAATTCTGTCCCTCCTGCGTATTACTTGAGGCATTGCTATGCAGCTAATGGCATGGTTTCATTATCCATGCTTTGCAAACAGTGCCATAACAACACAGTTGATTAATTACCAGTATAACGCCTTTTGGGGCGACTAACGGAGCGAGCGAGAGGGTGGGCCTTGCACGTGCGAAATTGCGAGGGGGTACCTCCAACTGACTTGTGCACGGCACCCTACTAACTGGTCTCTAGCGATGTGCCAAATTTGGGCACAATCGGCCCAGCCGTTCTCGAGATCTGGAAGCGGCACCCTGCACGTGCGCACGTGCAAAATGGGTCCCAGCTGACTTGTGCACGACACCCTACTAACCGGTCCCTATCCGTATACCAAATTTGAGCGCAATCGGTCCAGCCGTTCCCGAGATCTGGAAACGACCCCTGCACGTGCGCACGTGCAGCAGCACCCCAACTCTGGCACATGGATATGCAGTCCCTACTGGGTGCCTACCTACATGCCAACTTTCAGCGCAATCGGCCAAGTAGTTACCGAGATATTGCAGCAATTACAAAACTGACACCTCTTCGTTTTGCACGTGGCACGTGCATAAGGGGTCACCCACATGCATCGGGAATAGTCCAATACTTGGTAGCAGGAATGAAGCTACCCTACAAAAATTACCGCGTGTAAATCGGTCAAGTGGTTGCTGAGATATAAGCCTCGCAAAAGCGTGACCACGGCCGGCCG